CATACCCATCCATACCAATTCAACCATGTATGGAGGGTAGGGACTCAAGTGTCCCAACGAACAGAAAAGAGCAAACACACTGAGGTGTGCTCAGAAGAGAAGGTGCTGGCTGTTAGGGGAGGGAGGCAGCGCCCGACGTGGAACAAGAGCCCTCTTGCATCAGGACCAGAAGTAGTCAGTGGGATGGAAAGCATCCTGGGTGCATGGAAACCCCCAACCGTGGCAAGAATTTGGGGTCCCTGGGGAACTAAAGAGAGGCCAGCATTCTGTAAGCTAATCTACTGAATAAAGCTACAATGGCATTCAGGAGTCAGAAGCAAGGCATTTGGAGAGATGGCTCACCCCCTAGGAGCACTTGCTACTCTTATAGAAGACCTGAGTGTGATGGTCCACAATCATTGGTCGCTCCAGTTCCAAGAGCTCTGATGCTGTCCTCTGATCTCCGCCATAACCAAGCACACACCTGGTGCCCATACATACATACAAGCAGAACACTCAATCACATAAGAGATTAAATGGACATATTTAAAAATAATTAAGCCGGGCAGTGGTGGCGCACGCCTTTGATCCATGCATGCACTTGGGAGGCAGAAGCAGGTGGATCTCTGTGAGTTTGAGGCCAGCCCGGGCTACAGAGTGAGTTCTAGGACAGCCAAGGCTACACAGAGAAACTCTGTCTCAAAAAAGAAAGTTAAGACAGAAAATTAAGGAAAATTACCTATAAGTTGATGGCTAGCCAGGGCTGTACAACAAGACACTATCTCAAAAACAAACCACAAGGTCAGTGAGATGGCTCAGCGTGATGATCTGAGAAGTATCTCCAGAACTTTACATGTTGTCCACAAAATTCTAGGAGGCTTAAAATCAACAGCCACAACAGCCATAGTAACCAAAATAGAAACAACCTAAATCCGTGGACTAACAAATGGAGAGACACCATATGGTGTATCCATATGGTAGAATATTAACCAACCACAAAAAAAGAATGAAGTATGGCATACAATATGGACAACTCTTGGAAATACTATTGGGCATAGAGCTCTACCGGCCGAGTGATTTGTTGGTGAGTGCTCACCCAGCATGTACACACCCCAACCAACAACTCAAGAGGTGTCCTGCCCCTGGCACTGGGCTTTACATTTGGCTTCTGGGAAGAGCATTATCCCTCTTATGGGGTATAAGGTAATTATATTATATATGCACACATATACATTCTCATGCATATATATCATTGTACTTTGCTGATATTTCCACACACATAACACCATAACCCCCAACCCTACTGGTCCCTTTTCTCTCCTTTTATATTATTAAATGTAGATTCAAAAAAAAAAATCTAGATTCCTCATGTGAGAGATGTTTTTCTTTGTCCTTGCTTTCTCTTGTTCCCTTCCCCTCCACTCCCTCTGAAGCTCTTCTTTTCCCACTATAGCCCCCTTCTGCCTCCATGTCATATACATATATGTACATACTAGAACACATATATATGTATATATGTGATTCTGTAAATTAAAGGAAATGTGTCTTTGTGAACCTGGTTTATTTCTTTTAACGGGATGCTCTCCAGTTCGACCCATTTTCCCATACGTGCCACAACTTCATTCTTCTTTATGGCTGGATAAAGGCATCGAGTTTTCTTTACCCGTGCACCTGCTGACATCAGAGCCTTGTCCATAGCTTGGCTACGGAGAGGAGCTGAGCAGTAAACATGGATATGCCTGTGTCCCTGTGGTGCAGTCCCAGGACTGGTACAATTGGATCACATGGTAGGTTTTATTTGTTCGTTTGCTTTTCAGGGGGAGCGCAACGAGGTCATATGTAACGTAGGCTGACCTCAAACTCATCCTCCTACCTCTACCTCCCAAGTGCTGGGATTACAGGCATGCAGCACCACACCTGTCTGGTATTCTATATTTAGTTTACTGAGGAACTTCCATACTGATTTCCACAATGGCTGCACCAGGATCATCCTTCTCTTAACACATCCTCAGTAGCATTTGGAGTGTGTATGTGTGTGTGTGTGTGTGTGTGTGTGTATCACATATGTCACTGTGGGCATGTGGAAGCCAAAGAACAAATTGTGAGAATCAATTTTCTTCTTCCACCATGTGGGTCCTGGGGACTGAACTCAAACTGTCAGGCTTAAATAAGGCGAGTGCCTTTGTCACTGAGCCATCTTGTAGAGTGCTTGCCTGGCACGTACGAAACCCTGAGTTCCACCCCCAGAACCACTTCAAACTGGTCATTGTGTCACACGTATGCCTGTGACAGAGGCCAACCCAGGATATATGTGTGACCCTTTCAAAAAACCAAACAGGCAGTTGTGGTGGCTCACACCCTTCATCCCAGCACTCAGAGGACAGAGGCAGTGGAGCTCTATGAGTTCAACCATGGTCTACAGAGCAAGTCCCAGGCTAGACAGAGCTACACCATGAGATCCTGTACAAAAAAACAAAAAACCCTCTCAATGTGCAAGGCTGTGCTGACTCGTCTTGTGTCGACTTAACACACAAACTAGAGTTACCTGAAAGGAAGGAGCCTTAATTGAAGAAATGCTTTCATAAGATCTGGCTGTAGGGCATTTTCCTAATTAGTGATTGATGGGGGAGGACTCGACCCATTGTGGGGGATTCCATCCCTGGGCTGGTGGTCCTGGGTTCTATAAGAAAGCAGGCTGAGCAAGCCATAAGGAGCAAGAAAGTAAGCAGCACCCCTCCATGGCCTCTGCATCAGCTCCAGCCTCCAGGTTCCTGGCCTGTTTGAGTTCCTGTCCTGATTTCCTTCAATGATGAACAGTGATGTGGAAATATAAGACAAATAAACCCTTTCCTCCCCAATTTGCTTATGGTCCTGGTGTTTCGTCACAGCAGTACAAATCCTAACTAAGACAAAGGCCTTGGGTTTGACACTCAGTCTTCAGTGGGAGAGACAAACTTCCAGACCAATGAAATTAAATTACAACTCAACTACTCAACATTTTCTGTAACATCTGACCTTCCTTAAGCTCTTTCAGCCTCAGCTTCTGAACCATAAAATGGGAAGATTCTTCGTCAAGAGTATATAAATTATTTGTAAAGTACACACAGAACCGGATGTTTTTATCACACACCTTTAATCCCAGCCAGAGATATATTATGAGATACTGTCTCAAAAAAAAAAAATAGGTATGCACAGGGCCTGGAGAAATGGCTCAGAGGTTAGGAGGACTGGTTGCTGTATCTGAGGACCTGGGTTCAAGCCCCAACACTCCCCTGGTAGCTAACTATGGTCTGTAACTCCAGTTCCAGAGCATCTGGCACCCTCTTCTGACTTCCTTGGGTACCAGGCACATGGGTGATGCACATACATATACATGCAGACAAAACACTCCTACAAATAAAATAAATAAATCATTTTTTAAAGGTTTTCTTTTTAAGTCCACACCACATGGGTTTGTTTTACAAATTAAATGTTAAATAGCCGGAATGGTGCAGGCAAAGAAAGCGCTTGACAGAGTGCTTGATGATTGGTTATAATCTCTGGAGCCCCACACACAAACGCACGCACGCACGCACACATGCACATCTGCAGGGAACTACAATGGAGTCAAAAGCACTTTGCAAACGAGAAGGATGTTTGGAAAACATATTTTCCCTAAATAAAATAATAAGTATCAGCCACGGCCTTACATGGAAAGTTGAGATTGATTCATATCACCAAGAGAGCTGTGGACTTGTATACAGCTGTGCTCTTAATTTCTGAGCGAAGAGCCTGGTATTAATTACAAAGATTTGAAGAGCCAGGCATGGATGGGGAAATGTAGCTCCATCAGTCGGTGTACATGCTCTAGCATGCATGAGGCCCTGGATGTGATCCCAGCCAAAGCGGCACATACCTGGAATCCCAGTATTAGATAGGTGGAGGCAGGGGAATGGGGAGTTTAAAATTCACTAGACAGAGCTCGAGACCAAATTGGGATTCAGGAAACTCTAAAAAAGACTTGATGATCCCCAAAGTAGAAATGTAGAGGTGTTTTGATTAAAAATGCTTGTTTCCCTTTCAAAAGTCTTTCAATTGTTCTCCAGAACAGGGCAGAAAGGCTCCTGTCTGTGTTTAGCGCTCTCTCGCTCTCTCGCTCTCTCTCTCTCTCTCTCTCTCTCTCTCTCTCTCTCTCTCTCTCTCTCAATGTTTGTGTCTGAATGTATGCAGGAGGCATTGGATCCCCTGGAACTGAAGTTAACAATCAGTGTAAGACACCATATGGATGCTAGGGATTGAAACTGGGTGTGCCTGCCAGGGATCGAACCCTGGCCTTCTCCAAGAGCAGTAAGCCCTTTTAATCCCTGAGCCATAATTCTTCACTCTAGCCCCTAATTCTTTTCTGTTTTGTTTTGTGCTTGTTTTTGTCAAGACAGGGTTTACAACCAGAGGACTGGTTGCCCTGTCTATATAGTCCTGGCTGTCCTGGAACTTGTAGACCAGGCCACTTTGGCCTGGAACTCAGCGATCTGCCTGCCTCTCCCAGTGTTGGGGTAAAATCGTGCACAACCACCGACGGCCTATAATCCACTCTTTTGTTTTGTTTTGTTTTGTTTTGTTTTTGAGACAGGGTTTCTCTGTATGTAGTCCTGGCTGTCCTAGAACTCGCTCTTTTAATCCCGAGTGCTGGGATTAAAGGCATGCGCCACCACGGCCTGGTTTATAATAACCCACTCTTACAATCCTCTCATTTCTCTTTTTTTTTTTTTTTTTTTTTTTTTTTATGAGAGTGCAGGGTCCAGGCAGCAACATCAGCCTGGAGAGAGCCAAGTGCCCGCTGAGCCGCCACCATGCTTCTCGTGCTTGTGACTCAAGGTCTCCAATCTCACATGCAGTGCCACCAATGCCCTTTCTTGCAGGTCCTGGACAGGAAGAAGTCTAAGAGTAGTGGGGTGGGTGCTCACGAGGTGCAGCAGCCCTCGCCTTCCCGGGCGGCGCAGGCTCAGGCCACACCCAGTCTCGGAATTCAAGCGGTGGAACCGCGTCTGCGGGGCCCCGATGTGAAACTACAACCCCCAGGTTCCCCTCGCGGCCGCACGTGGTCCCGCAGCCCCTGAAATAAAAGCGCGGCGGCGCGGCTCAGTAGAGACTGAGTCCCCAGCGCACAGGAGCGACCCGGTGAGCAGAGCAAAGGCAGGTACGTAGGACGGGGGGAGCTCGGGGACTGTGAGGGTGACCCCTATCGCCTGTTTCCAGTGACACTCTGGGGTTCTTTGCAGACCAGAGAAGCCCGGTTTCCAGGAACCCTTGTCTGAATCGGTCATTTAGCCTTTCAACAGAGGGGAATTTAGCCATTGACTCTAATACACCTATCACTTATTTTAGGAGAGATTGCTTTTTTTTTTTTTTTTTTTTTTTTTTTTTTTTTTTTGGCTTCTTGTTTTGTGTTTCTCCATATCCGAATTTCTGGTTTGCCAAGTCTTTCTCAAGTCATTCTCCTTGTTCAGAGCTACACCAAATTCTCCCGATCCCTTCTTAAACTTTGAGGCTTTAAAAAGAACTTTGGCGCCAGGCAGTGGTGGTGCACGCCTTTAATTCCAGCACTCGAGAGGCAGAGGCAGGCAGATGTCTGTGAGTTCGAGGACAGCCTGGTCTACAGAGCGAGTTCCAGGACTGCTAGGGGTACACAGAGAGACCCTGTCCCAGGGGCGGGCAGGAGAGGGGAGGGGGAGGGGGAGACACCACACACACAGAACTTTGGCTTCTGTGCCCTGTTGTTCTTATGTGTGGATGCAGGTGTGAGGTTTCCAGGGTACTATTCCCTCCGCAGCGTTTCAACAAGAACATTCCAAAGTCACTTGAAGTCACGGGTGTGAGACTGTTGTGATCATTTGCTCTTAATTCAAACTATAAAGGATTTCAAAGCATAACACTTCCAAGTTGATTTTAAAATTTGTATTTTAAAAATATTGATTATTCGCTGTTAAAGCTTGCTTTTGTTTTCTTGGAGGGTTTTTTTTTGGGGGGGGGGTGGGCACTTGAGACAGGATGGCTCTATGTAGCCCTGGTTGTCCTAAAACTTTCTATGTAGACCAGGCTGGCCTCGAACTCACGGAGATCCACCTGCCTCTGCCTCCTGAGTGCTAGGACTAAAGACATGCACCACCATGCCCGGCTTCTGTGAGGTTTTTAATGAAAAACAGCTCTTCAGAGGAAATTCTGGTTAAATAATTTTCAGTTTGGAGGATCAAGGAATCTTTTTTTTTTTTTTTTTTTTTTTTTTTTTTTTTAAACACAAGGCTTCTAAATTATATAGCCCTCCCAACTGTTGGGACCAAAAGTGTGATTCCCGGCTGAATCCTCTGATTTTTGTTTTGATTTTATGTCCTTGAAATTGGGTCTTTCATAACACAGGCTGGTTTCCATTCACTGTGGAGCCACAGATGGGTTTGAACTCCTGACCCGCCTGTCTCCACCTCCCAGGTGCGGGTCCTTAGATACACAGCAATTCCTTGACTCCTAAAGTGAGTTTGAAAAGGGAGCCACGCGGAAGGGATTGGAGTGAGAGACAGATCCTGTGAAACAAAGACAAGCCATGGGGAAAGGCAGGCGGCAGCCCCAGGAATGGGTTCGAGCGTTAGGGCTGGCACACAAACCTTCCAAGAAGTTGCCATCTTCTGAATAGGACAGAGACAAGATCAGAAATGTGGGTGTTCTGGGGGTTCCACAGTGATTCCCAGCCCTCCTTCTCTTCTCCCACAGGTCCTAATTTTTAACTACTCAAACTGCATCCAAGTGGTTATTAATTTAATAGCTCTCAGACACATAAGAGTGCCAGTCAGAACTTACAGAATGTTGTTATTACACGTGAAATAAGTGCAGCCTGAAGCACAAGAACATGAACGTCTGTGTAGCCCGAGCAGACCTTTTGATCTAGGATGCTTAATGGTGACTGGCTCCTCCAGCACTCGGCTTCCTTTGTAACGGTCTTGTGCCTCGAAGGTCCTCTTGGACCTGGGTCGATGACCACTGATGCAGATAAAAGGCAGCCCGGGTAAGTCATAAGAAGGGCAGGAAGTCCCAGGTAAGAAGAGAGCGGAGTTTAATGACTCAGTGCTGAGTGTTGGGAGGAGGTGTTGGGAGGAGGCACCGGCACAGGTGACTTCCCACTAGACGGGACTTCACGGAGACCACTGAGCCTGTGCTTCTGTGACTGTGTGCCTGGCACATCGAGCATGCTGTGTCGATTCATTTATTTTACCCTGTGAAATATGGTTACTATTACCCCCATTGCAGCCGGGTAAAGAAGCACAGAGAGAGAAATAGGAGAGGCGAGACGCAGGTCCGTGGAGTCTGACCCCAGAGCTACCGTCTGTCTTCTCTCTTGTAGGGAAAGCCATCTTAGCATGGCTGGTTCACTCTGGGTGTCTTGAGTTCAGATCATTATCCTAGGAGTGCTGGGTGGAGGTCCGCAGCAGGCATTGTGATTTGCCTGCTGAATCCTGGCTCTTCCCCAGGCTGCTCATTTCCTCGGCTGGGTCTGCATTAGTATGGGCTGGTGCACTCTGCCTGATGGAAAGGTCCATCAGTTCCAGATGAATGAATGAAATGAGGTCGCCCGTGCCAACAGTGAGTGCCAGTCAGGGAATCACCATCAGGTGCCATCTGAATACCCCATTCAGTCTCCCACATAGTCCTCATACGTGAATTGAAGACCAGGTGTTGGCTGGGGTGTAGCCTAACTGGTTAAGTGTCTACCATGCACAAAAACCTGGGTTCCATCCTGAACCCCCGCCCCAAAATAAGTGTGATGGCATATGCCTGTAATGGACAGTTTACAAGAAGGGATTGGGTATGGTGATGCATACCTGTAATCCCCGAGAGACGGGAAGAGCAGGAGTTCAGGATCACCCTCGGCTACATGGGGAATTGGAGGCTGGCATGGCTTACAAAGACCCTGCCTCAGAAAAAAGCAAAGGTTCAGCAGCTTGCTGCCAAGCCTGACAACCAGAGTTCAATTCTCGGGGTCCGCGTGGTGAAAGGAAAGAACTAATTCTCACAAGTTGTCCTCTGGCCTCTGCGCCTGAGCTGTGGTGTGTGCGGGTTCATACACCTAGACACGTGCACAACCAACATATGTTAAAAAGAGACCAAAAAAGCCTAGAGAAGCTGCAAAATCAATAAATTTAGGATATCAGAGGACACATAGGTTAGTTGGATGATAATTAGTATGATTCATTGAAACCTTAAGTGCCGGGTTTGGATGGGATCCCAGCTTAAGAGATGGAGAAGAGCCGGGCGGTGGTGGCGCCCGCCTTTAGTCCCAGCACTCGGGAGGCAGAGCCAGGTGGATCTCTGCGAGTTCGAGGCCAGCCTGGGCTACAGAGTGAGTTCCAGGAAAGGCGCAAAGCTACACAGAGAAACCCTGTCTCGAAAAACCAAAAAAAAAAAAAAAAAAAAAAAGAGATGGAGAAGAGAATGCCTGCTTCTTCTGACTGTATTCAGTTTAAGTAATAGCAGTTCCTCATGTGTCTGAGGCCCCTGAGTGAAGGTGCAGCTCTGGTCCTGCTGGTTTTCACTCCTACTCTTGAGGTCTGGGGCTCCCCCAGCTCTCTAAGTAGCTAAAATGGAAGGCCTTCCAGATAGCGTTTCCCCAGGTCTACCCCTTCTGTCTTAAAGTCTCCCCACCAACGCAATTCAGCTCCGAGTTTTTACATTCTTCGGCTTGCTCTGGGTGTTTCTAGGTTGTAAGTGGATTTTACCACACTAACCTGGGATTGAACTTTGGCCTGGGAGTTTGGTCATTAATTGACATTCCTTGAAGAAAGAGAGTAGTGACGCTGTATATTTTCCAGTCCAGCAGCTCGATGGCCATCCCTAAGAAGAAACTCCGGGGTCTCGTTGCTGCCACCATCACTCCGATGACTGAGAATGGGTAACTATCATGGGGGTGGGGGAGCAGAGAGGGACCCGTTCCCATTCACTGGAAAGGTCAGAAGCTCCAGGAGTCACTGCACCTCTGGGGTGGTCTTACCAAGCGGTAGCTTCTGCAGTGTGCCTTGACTTCCTAAGTCAGAAAGGGCCAGCCATCATGGTGGTGGAAAAGGAGAGAGAGGGCTGGAGAGATGGCTCAGTGGTTAAGAGCACTGGCTGCTCTTCCAGAGGACCCAAATTCAATTCCCAGCACCCACATGGCAGCTCATAGCTGTCTGTAACTCCAGCTCCAGGGAACTGACACTGTCACAGACATACATCAGGCAAAACACCAATGCACATAAAATAAAAATTAAAACGAAAGAAAATAGAACATTTAAAAAAAAAAAAGAGTGAGAAGGGAATTTTCCCAGTGCCTTTAGCCCAGACAGGGCCCTTGGAACTAGAGGAGAATCCTATCTTGGGGTGACTACTGTCCTCATCCCTCTAGGGATTCTGTCACTTTGGACGTCTGCAGTGTGGCTCGCTGTGGAGTCTGTACTTGGGTCTGACCCCTTGAAACTCATCCCAAGAAAGTGGGGAGAGGGTGCTGAAAAGGTGGCTGAGCTGGAAAAGTGCTTGCTGTACCAACGTGAGGACCTGGGCGCAGATCACCACCATCTGTGTAAATGTCAGGCCCATGTCCCAGTGTTGCAGAGGCAGAGACAGGAGGATCTCTGGGGCTTGCTGACAAGCCAGACTCTCTGAATCACTGAGCTTCAGGTCTGGTTCAGATAGTGCCTCAAAAATAACAATAATAAGGTGGAGAGCAATTGAGGAAGACACATGGAGTCAGTTTCCAGCCTCCATATATTTGTCTGCACATGTAAACATGTACCCATATACATGTATACTCATAAACACATCCACACCACATTATACACATCCATCAACACACACACACACACACACACACACACACACACACACACACTACACAAAGAAAACAAAGCATGTTCATAGACATTATCTTAGTTAGGATATTGCTGTGATAAAACCATGACCAAAAGTAAGTTGAAGAGGAGTTTATTTTTTTACACTATATATCACAGTTCATCATCAAAGGCAGTCAAGGCAGGAACTCAAACAGGGCAGGAGCTGATGCAGAGGCCATGGTGGGGGTACTGTTTACTGACTGAATTCCCCCTGGCCTGCTCAGCCTACTTTCTTATAGCACCCCAGGACCACCAGCCCAGGGATGGCACCACCCACAATGAGCTGGTCCTCCCCACAGCTATCAGCAGTTATGAAACTGCTCTACAGACTTGCCTATAGGCAAATCTTTGGGGTTTTGTTTGGTTTTTGTTTTTGATTTTTTTTTGTTTGGTTGTTTTATTTTGTTGGTTTTTCAAGACAGGGCTTCCCTGGGTAACCTCCACTGTCCTGGAACTTGCTCTGTAGACCAGGCTAACCTTGAACTTATAGAGATCCACCTGCCTCTGCCTCCCAAGTGCTGGGATCAAAGGTGTGCACCACCACCGCCCAGCTGTTTTTTGTTTGTTTGTTTGTTTGTTTTTAAGACAGGGTCTTTCAACATAGCCATAACTGTCCTGGAACTCACTATGTAGACCAGGCTAGCCTCTAGTCTGCCTCTCAAGTGCTGGGATTAAAGACCCAGCTATGTTCTAGGCAATCTTATGGAGACCTTTTTTTTTTTGGTTTTTTTCGAGACAGGGTTTCTCTGTGCAGCTTTGCGCCTTTCCTGGAACTCACTTGGTAGCCCAGGCTGGCCTCGAACTCACAGAGATCCGCCTGGCTCTGCCTCCCGAGTGCTGGGATTAAAGGCGTGCGCCACCACTATGGAGACTTTTTATTTATTCATTTTAAGTCCTTCCCAAATGACTCTAGCTTGTGTCAGGTTGCCATACATCTAGGACCGATGATTTGGAAGGACCCTATGCCACCGGAAAAGGGGCCGGCATCAGCAAGGTGGACTCCTCGGGCATCGTTCTGGTCTCATTTAGAAGCTGATTCAACGTTAGGAGGCGGGGGCAGAGGAGGGAGGGAAGACAGCAGAGGGACCGATTGATGATCGTTCAGTTTTCTCAACAGTTTCTGGGGCAGGTGCCTTGACTTCCAGAGGGAGGCTGGGGCAGCCGCTTTGCCTGCCTGATCAGATAGTGGCCGTGCACCATTCACGACGTTGCGTGCTCCTCCCTGGACACGTGACACAAGGGGAGCGGGCACTTCCGCCTGCTGAGGGGTGCTGACCCATCAGAGGTGAATTCTGGCACCTCTAAGCTACTTCCTCCTGTAAGATAAAAAAATACCCCACACCTACAGTGCAGAATGGTGATCACTAAAGTCCTTGCAGCAGCGCTTGGTCACGCACTCAGGGCACCAGGTTTGAGTCGTTACTGTGGCGAGAGAGACAAGGTTAAGAGGAAGATGAGCCAACTAGTACTCCTTCTCAAAAGGCCTTTTGGGGGGGGAGTTTTATTTCTGAATTTGTAAACCTTTTTAGAACTTCGAATCCTCGTTCCTAGGTGGCCACATCACAGCTCCCTTAGATATTTGGAGCCCAAGACGGTATAAAAAAAACTCCCGCCGGGCGGTGGTGGCGCACGCCTTTAATCCCAGCACTCGGGAGGCAGAGCCAGGCGGAGCTCTGTGAGTTCGAGGCCAGCCTGGGCTACCAAGTGAGTTCCAGGAAAGGCGCAAAGCTACACAGAGAAACCCTGTCTCGAAAAAACAAAAAAACAAAACTCCCATCCTTCCTGGAAGTTAAGTTGCTGACGTATTATTTAGATCACTCTGTTGGCTAATAGTCTTTTTTTTTTTTTTCCCCCTGCTACTTCTCCTTTTCCACAACTTCTGGAAAAGACTGAAGTCAGCTGTTTCTCAGTTTCAGCTGCTGGTTGGGTAGATAAGCAAGAGACATGTGACTACATGAGCAGGCTGAATTTACTTCCGGCTCCAGAGTGCAATCCTGGCTGTCACCCAGCTCAGCACATTCCATCCTGTCCTTGCTGGGTGAGCCTCTGAAGTGGCTTTGGCCAAACACCCTTACTTTTCCTCTGGGACCCACTGAGAGCAGCTGTGTGGTTTTCCTTGTTCTGCTGTTATCTGGGAGCACAAACCCAGAGCGTTAGAGATAAGGAACAGGCCTCTGAAAGTGCACACCTGCAAGTCCACCACTTGGGAGGGAGAGGCAAGAAAATCCCTGGAAGGCCACCCTTAACTGATGAGTGCAGGGCCAGCCTGAGCTATATTAACTCTCTTTTCTCTCATCCCTTGCTCCATCACAATCGTCTTATAGAGACTGGAGAGGCGGTTCGGTCAGTGGTCAAGGGCACTTGCAGCCCAGTTCTACATGGTGACTTCCAACCGTCGTTAATTCCTAACTCCAGTTCCAGGGGATCCGGTGCTCTCTTCTGGTCTCCTCAGGTGCACACACAGTCCACAAACATACATGCACACACAGTCCACAAACATACATGCACACACAGTCCACAAACATACATGCAAGTAAAACAGTCACACACCTAAGATGAAAAATAAATCTTAAAAAAAAAAAGCCGGGTGGTGGTGGCACACGCCTTTAATCCCAGCACTCGGGAGGCAGAGCCAGGCGGATCTCTGTGAGTTTGAGGCCAGCCTGGGCTACCATGTGAGTTCCAGGAGAGGCACAAAGCTACACAGAGAAACTCTGTCTCAAAAAACCAAAAAAAAAAAAAAAAACCTATCCTTGGGCCAGCAAAATGGCCCAGTGGGTAAAGATCTTAAATCCCCAGGACCCACATAACAAACAGACAGGATAGCACTTGTCTGTAATCCCCGAGCAGCAGATAGAGCCAGAGGAATCCTGGGACATTCTGGGGCTAGCCAGCCTGGATTACCCAGCAGCAAACAAAAGACCCTGTCTCAGCCAAGGTACAAAGTAAGAACTGTAGCTGAGGTTGTCTTCGGACCTGCACTGCATGCACTCTTACACACTTGAACATACCCAAGCACAAGGACACACACAAAAGGTAAAAACAAGCGCCTTCATATCCTGCAAAGGAAGACTTCAGCCATCCCATCTCTGTGGTGCCTGAGTGTCTTCAGCCCTCTGCTCTCACGCCATTAGCAACTTGGTGAGTTCCACAATGGAGTGAGACGTTTTAAAGTACCTGCCACACCAGTCTATCTCCACCCCGCAGCCTAGTGAGCATCCTCGTAAGTCAATCTGGCAGATCATTCTCCTTTACTGGAGTCTGTTGACTCTCCTCTCCCAAAGCCTTGCTTCTCGCTGTGTGGTCCTTAGACCAGTTATCCAGGACCTCATGGGAACTGGATAGGGAAGCAGGCCTCAGGCCCTACCACATACTACGAGTCAGAACCTGCCTCCGAACAGTGGTCCAGGAAAGCCTGAGATGAACTAGCCTGAAGGTGAAAGCGAAACTCCTAGAGACAGTGTAGGAAGTCTTGCACAATCTACCTTTTCTTTCTGGCACTTCCATTTGGTTCCCCAAACAACATCACATCCTTTCTTTCCAGGCTCCACCTTGCCTCATTCTGTTTCCCCTACTCTCACCTTCTCCTTTAACACTTCTACTTACCCATCAGAACATTTGCAGGAGTGAAGGGACTTTCTTCTCCTCCTCCTCCCCTCCCCAGAAGAGTTCATCTTCCCATCTGCTGAAACACTCTGACCATGGATGCGTGAAGAGCGTCCAGCACTCATTTGCCAGGCCTGGGAACGGCAACCATACAAAACAACACTTAGAGACAGCCTGGTTTAGGTTTAAGTACCCTCTTTAGCGAGTGGGGGACAGAGGGCTGCGGGCGCTTTTAGAGGAGAATGAGTGAGCCCGGAGTAAACAGTAGTTTGTAAATGGTTCTCTAGAAAGACTGTCTTGCTGTGGTGACATTCCCAGTCACCACAGGTGGTTACCTCTAGGTGAGGTTTCCAGAGGACATAGGACAGCAGTTGTCCCTCTGGAAGGATGTCCAGTAAGAGAACTTCAAAGAGTGTTCCACCCTGCACCCAGGAGGAGCAACAGCAGGTCAGAAAGTCCCGGGTTCTGAGGGTTTTTTAACTCTTGATTTAGTTCAAAGCTCTCAGTGTGCTAAGCATCATAAATGGGTCTCATTTCCCAAGCCCCAACCCATCCTTTGGCAATTCTTCCCCATTTCTTCTTAAAAAAAAAAAAACTAGAAGCTCCCTCGTGTGTGACCCCCATGGCACCTGTGTATACCTTTTTACATTGCATCAAATGTATCTGGTTTATGCTGTCTGTTATCATAACTTTTTATGTGTGTTATATCTGTGTGGGGGCGCACATGCCACAGCACACACGTGAAGGTCAGAAGAAGACAGCTCGCCGTGTGGATCCCAGGGATTGAACTCAGCCTGTCAGGCTGGCTTCAAGTGCCTTTCCCCACTGAACTATCTTGCCAGCCCATGATAACGTGTTTGCTAATGCCTGTATCTTCCAGCAGGCTTTGAGCTGTTTTTACTGAGGGTGGGCCACAAACAAGGACCAAACATGTGTCTTATTTACCTTTCTGCCTTCAGCATCCGACAGAGTTGACTTGTCATTTTATCAGGGACTGTGCCACAGGGGTGACTAATGTGGCAGTCAGAGGGAGAAAGGAGGTTGGTGTCTGGTGGAATAAACACTGCCTGCCAGTCACCTTGACGGGCATTTGATCTAGACAGTCCAATTTCAGCTTGACAACTGCACCAGGGACCTGCAGCCCTATTTCATGGCTGGAGAAATTTTAAGAAGTCTTTTTTTTATCTGGATACAGTAACACGTACCTATAGTCCCAGTGCCTCAGGAGACTCAGACAAGAAGATCATTTCAACCTGAGCAACACAGTAAACCAGAGAGAGGGAGAGAGAGAGAGAGAGAGAGAGAGAGAGAGAGAGAGAGAGAGAGAGAGAGAGAGAGAGAGAGAGACAAGAGAACAGAATAGATGGAGGGAGGAAAAATGTCAAGAAAAAAAAGTTGTATTTTCTCTGTCAAATGCCATTCACTGTGGTAATGCCTTTTCCTGCTGAGCCACCGTACAGGCCCTGGGTCCATTTGTGAGTGAACTGCTGAGTGTCTTGGTCAAGAGCTGCAAACTTAACCACCGATAGCAAGTGTCAGGCAGGGATCTGAAAGCCTGAGGTAGCTGGTAGGACATGGAACCTTTAAGAGTGCGGATGCTGGGGGGGGGGCTGGAGAGATGGCTCAGAGGTTGAGAGCACTGGCTGTTCTTCCAGAGGTCCTAAGTTCAATTCCCAGGACCCACATGGTGGCTTACAGCCATCTGTAATGAGATCTGGTGCCCTTCTTCTGGCATGTAGACTGTATGTATAATAAATCAACTAATCAATCGATCAATCTTTAAAAAATGTAATTAAAAAAATAAATAAAAGAGTGCAGGCACTGGTCTTCCTGTTTGAGAAATTAGCCTTAGCCAAGTGTGGTGCCCTACACCTTTAATCTCAGCACACTAGAAGAGTCTACACAGTGAGTTCCAGGAGAGCCAGAGCTATAGAGAGAGACCCTGTCTAGGATAGTCAGAGCTACATAGTCAGACCCCATCTCTTAAAAAAAAAAAAAAAAGAAAGAAAGAAAAGAAAAAAGAAAAAAAGAAAAGCCTTGTTAGATATCTGACCTTTCAGTCAATTGTTGGGGTTTATGATCGTGTGTGTGCATGTAGAAGGCAGAAAACAACCCTCAAAATATTGTTCCTCACATGCCATTCACCTTATAGTGGCTCAGAAGTCCCCAAGTAGGGCTAGTCTGGCTGGCCAGTGAGCTCCAGGGACCTGCTGCCTCCCAGTGGATGTTTTTTGGTATATTTTTACATTAGTTCTGTACATCAGACTCAGGTCCCTATGCTTGCATGGTAAATATGTCACCAAAGTCCCCAGCCCAAAAGTCTTTTCCTATGTGAAAGAAATTTTAACAAAATGAAAATCAGACAGAAGTTGTTCTAAGGGTAGCCCCTTTTCAGCCTGGGCTGTAGTTCCAAAGGGGCACAGGCTGAGAACCTTTTCTAGATGATTCTTCTACTGCCCTAGAAATTCTAGCATTGGTGCCATTCCTAAAGGCATCTCTTAAAAAGACAGATAATGCATCTCCCGTGAGCCTGAGAAGAATTATTAGCCAGTGCAGCCTGAAGGAATGTGGCAGGGAAGGGGAGAGCGTAGGTGGAACCCCTTTCCACTGAGGCAAAACAAAATAAAACAAACAAAACACATGAAGTTCTCTGAGGAGGAGAAGAAGCTTGAGTTTCACCTTCCTACATCTGCCTGAGGGTACTGCCAGCTCCCTAGAAAGAGGTGCGTGCCCAGACAGAACCAGACAGAACTAGACAGATGGCAGCTCCGTGAAGCGTGGGAGGAACTGAGGAGGCAGGGCTTTACACTCCCCACCCCACCCCCACGCCACCACCCACCCCCATCATCCCTCCAAGTCCTGCCTCATGACTTCTTCCCAGCCTCCTCTTGGGATTTATCCTTCGCCCGTCTGAACCCCCATGCCCTTAATTCTTAACTTAGTCATAGCTTTCAGGTTTTAGTTAATTATGTACACAACCTCCTAATGTGATAGTGAAGTTACAAAATATCCCAGGCCTGAAGGCAGAGTTGACGTAGGTGCCCACCCACATCAACACGTCTTTGTGGTCTTTTGAGGGGCAGAGAGTGGGCAGAGTTATGCTGGGCCCCAGCCACAGTAGAAAGAGCCTTCCTCTCATGGCCTTAAAACTCCCCTAAGGGCTGGAGAGATGGCTCAGCACCCCTTCTCAATGACCGACGGCTGGCCAAGCTGTGTCTTCCCTCACCTTGTGGGCAGCTACTGTGTCTACTGTCTTTGCTTTTAATATCTTTTCCTTTCATCTCAAAATCGGCTGAATTCTTCTTTTCTCTCTTTGCTTCTGTGCCCTTGGCTGAAATAGCCTTTGATGTCTGTTATCTCGATGCATCAGATTTTTTTTTTCATTGTTGTTTAAGGAATAGACTAAGTAAAGATGAAAAGAATGGTAATAAGGCTAGATCCCAATTAGGAGGCTCCAGTCCTACTTTACAAAAGCCTAAATGACAGCCAGCTAGTTCTCTGTGTTCTGGGCAATGTGTCCATGGTTCTGCAACAGTAAACCCAGACTCGCCACACTCTCCCTCATCCATCCTCCCCACCTTGATTTTCCTTTTTCTTTTCTTTTTTTTTTTTTTTTTTTTTTTTGAGACAATGTCTCTCTGTGTAGCTCTAGCTGTCCTGGAACTCACTCTGTAGACCAGGCTGGCCTGAAACTCAGAGGTCTGCCTGCCTCTGCCTCCCGAGTGCTGGGATTAAAGGCGTCCACCGCCGTCACCCAGCGCCACCTTAATTTTTCATAGTTGTAGGCCATTTAGTGCAGTTTTTGAGCCTACTTATCAATTTTTAAATTAATATGATTTTTAAGGGGAAACACCTTATCACCTTAAGCATCAGATCTTAACAAGGTCATTTTGCTTCAGACTGAAAAGTACAGGCAGATCACATGGGGAGTTTGTTAAAGTACAGATTCCCACCCAGTTGTTGAGACCATGCCTACAATGTCAGCAGTTTAGAAGCTGAGACAAGAATGTCAGGAGTTCAAGGCCAGCTGCAGCTACATAGGGAGAGGCCAGCCTGAGCTACATGAGACTGCCCAGCTGGACATAGTGGATTCACATCTTATTGAGAGAACTCAACTAAGACATGAAAGAGTAGAGACAAAGAATACGGGCGTTTTTTCTGAAACAGAGATCTCCCCAACAAAGGAAGCATGGGGATTTGATTTAGGGAGTCTAGACAGATTCAGTCCTAGGCATGTCAAGTTAAGAGGTCACTCCTGTGCATTCTCAGTTAAAGGTCCTACTTTTTAAAAAGAAAAGATTTGTTTATTTCTAGTTTATATGTATGGATGTTTTGCCTGTGTGTATGTAGTATGTATGTATGTATGTATGTGCATCACGTGCATGGCTGTTCCCTGAGGAGGGGGGTATCAGACCCTCTGGAACTAGAGTTTCAGAGGGCTGTGAGCCACCATGTGGGTGCTGGAACCAAACCTTGGTCTTCTGCAAAGGCAACAGTGTTGTTCCCCACGGAACCGGCTCTCTAGTCCGAGGTCATAATTTTAAAGGAAAAGATGGTAGAAACATTTGGAGGCATGTGCAGCTCAAAGTCATGGAGCACTTAGGAAAGGAGTAAAGTGACAGAAATGCCTCTGGGGATGCTTGGCTTGCACCAGAAGGTTCCTCCTGAAAATAAAGGAAAGGGTCCTGGGCTGGTGAGATGGTTCAGTGGGTAAAGGTGCTCGACACATCCCCAAACCTGATGATTTGGTTCAATCCCTGGGACCCACATGATGGACAGAGAAAACGGACTCCCCAAAAGTTGTCCTCTGACCTCTACACACATGTTCTGTCTCACACACACATTTACACATACACATCCTGCATCACTACCACATACTAGGCAAGCTACCTATCCCCTGCGCTATGTACCCAACCCCAGAGTAGATTTTTAATAATGATTAATATGAGCAGTTCATGAGCTGCCAATTGGCTGAATAATCACCTAGGAAAGACTAAATGTGCATTCTTACTTTTTCTCCCTGTCTTTTAGAGAAATCAACTTTTCTGTAATTGGTCAGTATGTGGATTATCTGGTGAAGGAACAGGGAGTGAAGAACATTTTTGGTAAGTCACCTTGAGATCTCTCTGTATGTGTCTAGATCAGGCCTTAGCTAGTCGTAGACCTCACCTGACCAGGAGGTCACAGGGCATGTGTCAGAGATCGTGGTGGAGCCTGCTGGGATAACTAAATGTTCTAAGTGTATAGACTCACTAGTATTAGGTCTACAGATTCCTTGAGAACATCTCATTTGGCAGTGTGCCAACAAATACATTGTTTTTATCGCCACTTAGAGACAAAACTCTGTGGCTTAGAGACTCGAGGTCATGAAACCAAAAGGCAGTAGAATAACAGCAAAGCCTGCTTAAGTAACATTTTAGCCCAGCACACCTTTAGCCCCAGCACTTGGGGAGATAGAGGCATGGATCTATGAGTTCAGGGCCAGCCTGGTCTACAAAGCAAGTTCCAGGACAGCCAGGACTACACAGAGAAACCCTGTCTAAAGGACTGGAAAGGTGGTTCAGTGGTTAAGACTCTTGCTTTTCTTGCAAAGGACCTGGGTTTGATTCCCAGCACCCACATCAGCACAAGTCATAATTGACCTCCCCACTATTTTTGACAAGACAAAGGTAGAAAAAAAAAGCCCAAGGGGTTGGAGAGATGGCTCTGAGGTTAAGAGCACTCATTGGCTGCTCTTCCAGAGGTCCTGAGTTCAATTCCCAGCAACCACATGGTGGCTCACGGCCATCTATAATGAGATCTGGTGCCCTCTTCTGGCCTTCAGGCACACATGCAGGCAGAACACTGTATACATAATAAATAAATCTTAACAAAAAAAAAGACAAAGTCTGAAGTAAAAATGGACAAGTGGCACTCCCCGCTCTAGGCACCATCCTCTATTCAATCATTGTGCCTTTTCCTCTCAAGCAGAGGTTCCAGACCTCACACCTCCAGACTTAGGGTTGGAGGAAGAAAAGGCACTGGCTGGTCCCACTGACTGACCTCTTTGTTTGGAACAGTGAATGGCACCACGGGAGAAGGCCTGTCCCTGAGTGTCTCTGAGCGTCGCCAGGTGGCAGAGGAATGGATGAAACAAGGGAGGAACAAGTGAGTAACTGTGCGAGGATAAAATCCAATCCATAATCCATGCAAGAGCTATATTGAGCAAGGCTCCTCCCACTGTCCCAGCCCTGACATCTCCCAGGCAGCTGCGGGGGAAGACCAGGGGCTCTGAGCCTCCCACACTTGGCAAGGGGCTGCCCTCCCTTCTCTGTGGAAGGGCAGCCAGACCACAGAGCACGCCTGCTCCCTTTCAGAAACTGTCTCTCATCTACCCGGAAGGCTAATCTTCTCAGGAGTTCCTGTCCTTGGACTGAAAGAGGGAGAGAAGAAGGTGGCCTGCTATTGTGTGTATTGTCAGAGGCCTGCTCTGACCTGTCAAAGGGTTCTTGTGGGGAGGAGTGAGGAATGAGGAAGTATTAGATAGAAAGATAGGCCTAGATGGAGAGAAAGACAGAGACACAGGATAGCTTCCGGGGAGCCACCTGGGTCAATACCTAGCTGCCCTGTCTTTATTCATAATGGGCCTTTTATATATCAGCAAGGGGAAAGGCAAAAGACCCCCCTCTTCCAAGATCAAAGCACAACGTACAACCAAGTGTAGACCCTTCAAAACACCTGGTAACCACACCTTTGGCCAAATCATCCTAATATGCAGCCCTGCTGGATAAAGTAAGCTCAGACTTTCTGACCTTAAGTAAGGCCATATTAGGGAACCTCTGTGGACCGACCCCACAGTGTATCATCCCTCTGTCATAGTTAGGGTTTCCATTGCTATGATGAAACCCCATGACCATAAGCAGCTTGGAGGGCAAAGGTTTATTTGACTTACACTTCCACATCATAGTCCCTCACTGAGGGAAGTCAGGGTAGTTACTCAAACAGAGCAGGATCCCGGAGGGAGGAGCTGATGCAGAGACCATGGAGGGGTGCTGCTTCCTGACTTCCTCCTCCTGACTTGCTCAGTTTGCTTTCTTATGCACCATCTGTTTAAGCCTTCCCACATCGATCATTAGTCAAGAAAATCCCACAGAGACTTGCCTATAGGACAGTCTGTGGAGGGATTTTCTCATTAAGATTCCGTCTTCCCAGGTGACCCTACCTTGTGTCACGTTGACATAAAACTGGCCAGCACACCTGCTGCTTCACACTAGGGACCGGGAGCAAAGTCTTTGCTCTCAGTCTGCTTCCCAGCCAATGGGGGGGTCAGGTTGTGAAACCCAATACTCCCCACTTCTGATTAAGTATAAACTGAGACAAAGGAGTGGCCAGTAGTGTTTAGATGGAGGAAAAATATTGGAGTTAGTAAAAACAGCTGAACAAGCACCCTCTTCCATATAGCCAAGTGGAATGGAGAGCAGGAAGATGTTGTCTACACAGGAAGCCATCTTTATCCTGTGTCAGAATGATAGCACATCTTACCGGAATGATTTATTGGGTGGACTTCTTTTAATTACTATTTTTGTTTATTTTTACTTATTTGTCTATTTTGGGTGGTTTGTTTATTTATTTATTTATTTATTTATTTATTTATTTATTTATTTTTGGTTTTTCGAGACAGGGTTTCTCTGTGTAGCTTTGCGCCTTTTCCTGGAACTCACTTGGTAGCCCAGGCTGGCCTCGAACTCACAGAGATCCGTCTGGCTCTGCCTCCCGAGTGCTGGGATTAAAGGCGTGCGCCACCACCGCCCGGCTGTTTATTTATTTTTTAATTGGAGCAGGGTGAATCACCTGCCCAGTTCCTTTATTTTAATAATTATCATTGTATGTGTGTTATGTGAGTGTGTGGGCTACATGTGAAGGTCAGAAGGCAACATGGGGGAATCAGTTTTCTCCTTCCACTATGTGGGTGTCCTGGGGCTAGAACTCTGATCCTTAGACTTGTCAGCAAGCACCCTTACCCATGAGTCATCTCTCCAGTCTCGCTCTCTTTTCCCCAGGGAACAGTCTTTGGTCACTCTGACTGGCCTGGCACAGCTCATTATGAAATCAAAGATGGCCTTAAACTTCCGATCCTCCCGTCTCCACTTCCCAAATGCTGGGATGGCGGGTACGCAGTACACCACGAGACTGGAGTGTTCTACTATTTTATGTTGGCTCTTTGAGACAGGGTCTCTCTCTACATAGCCCTGACTGTCCTGGAATTCACTTTGTAAACCAGGCTGGCCTTGAACTCACAGAGGCCCGCCCCCTGCCTCTGCCTCCCCAAGTGCTGAGATTAGAAGTGGGCCACCATGCTTGATTTCTAAGGAATGCTCAGTCTTAAGATGAAGCCATTCTAACTGACGTCAAAGAGGTTCCTCCCTCAGTTCTGATGCTCTTCTGACCTTTACTTCAACATTGTTTCTAGCCGCTGCAGGATTATAACTGTACTGTCTTTAAGAGAGGTTTCTCTTTCATGGGGAGGGGGGTGTCTGTGAGAGGACGCTGAGGTTCCCTTTGTTTGATGGGGGAGAGGAAGTCCCTCCCTGCTGTCTCAGCTTTGGGAAGTTGAGGTCGGCCTTCCCTCTTCCCACAGAAGATTATTTTCCTCTGCCGTTCACCTTTCTTCTCCCCCTAAAATATTTGGAAATAATATTTTTATTATTTCCAAAATGAAAAAATGTTTTTATTATAGATTCATTTTATCTGATGAGTGTTTGACCTACATGTATGTATGTATGTGGACTGCATGTGTGATTGGTGCCCACAAAGGTCAGAGGGCACTGGATCACTTGGAACTGAAGTTACGCATGGTTTCGATTCCTGGGAATCAAACTTTTTTTTTTTACTTCTTTTCAGTTAAAACAATTTCCCTCTGTTTATTTGAGACAAGATCTCATGCAATTCAGGCTGTCCTCACTCAGTAGCTGATGCTGACCTTGAACTCCTCCTGATCCTCTTGCCTCCACCTCCCAAGTGCCAGGATTTAAAGCATGAGCATAAACCCGGTTTTCTGTTATCCTTTTCTCCAGTGTCCACTCCCCATTTTTTTATTTTCAGACAAAGTCTCACTATGCACCCCAGGTGGCTTTGGCTCAGCCTCCTGGGTGCTGAAATTGCAGCCTTGAGCCAACACACACACATACACACACACACACACACACACACACACACACACACACACACACACACACATACACACATACTTTTTATTAAAGTTTTTTTTTAGATTTATTTGTGTGTGTGTGTGTGTGTGTGTGTGTGTGTGTGTGTGTGTGTGTGACTCCATGAATACAGGTTTCCATGGAGACCAGAAGATCCCCTAGAGCTGGTGTTACAGCTGGTGTTATGATCCACTCAACTTGGGTCGTCTGAAGGAGCAGGAAAGACTATTAACTGCTATGTCATCTCTTCAGCCCCCAGGCTTAAACCTAAGCCTCAGTTTCTTATCTGTAATATAAGTTCGCATACACTTACCCTTCTCCCCTCACAGTTTATTGTGGGTGGAAACTCTAAAACCTATAATTATAACCTTGAATGGGAGAAGTTATTATGCTCTTAATTTTCAGTATGTTTTTATTTATTTATTACCTTATGTATATGAGTGTTTTACTTGTGCGTGTGTTTGTGTACCACATGCATGCCTGATGCCCACAGAGGCCAGAAAAGGGTGTCAGACTCTCAGAACTAGAGTTAGAGACAGTTAATGAGCCATCATGTGGGCACTGGGAATTGAACCCGAGTCCTCTGGAAGAACAGCCAATGCTCATAACCACTGAGTCATCTCTCCCGCCGAATGTTTCAGAATCTTGCATGTCCTGGAGACTGAGCACAAGCTGCCTTGTCTGCCTGCCAGTCGGGACCTGGTGACCTGATACAACCTTTGAACCCGCATTTCTGCCTTCTGTCTTTCACTTGATATGAAGAAGCTCTTGAGTAGAAGAGTTCTATCTCCAGATGTTCTGAAGAAAACCTATGTAAATTTGGATCCTGATAGAACTGCCTTGCTGTGGTCTTTTACAAAAATTTCCTTTCGACCTGCGCTTGAGTGTATTGCTTTTATACAGAACATGTGTGGCCTGTATATAGAACACTTGTAATTTTCCCGGTGCTTCTGATAAAGTGGTCAATACCAGTAGCAAATGAGATTTTATAAATTGGGGGAAAGGGGCAATTTAAAATAATTTAGGAAGGCTGGGTGTGGTGGTACATCCCTTTAATCCTAGCTCTCGGGAGGCAGAGGTAGATAGATCTCTGTGAGTTTGAGATCAGCCTGGTCTATATAATGAGTTCCAGAGCTACATAATAGAGATAATCTATCCCATAGATAGATAGATAGATAGATAGATAGATAGATAGATAGATAAGATAGATAGATAAGGTAGATAGGTAGGTAGGTAGGTAGGTAGGTAGGTAGGTAGGTAGATAAGGGCTAAAGGAACTAGCTCAGCAGGTAAAGGCACTTGCACACAAGCCTAACAACTGGAGTTCAACACCTTACCCCCATACACACACAGGATTATTGGATGGCTGTGAGCCACTGTGTGTGTGCTGCGAATCAAACCTGGATCCTCTGAAAGAGCACCCAGTGCCTTTAAATGCTGAGCCGTCGCTCCGGCGCTCAAAGAACTTGGAATAGGGGCCAGTTTACTTGCCAACTGCGAACAGAGAAATGTCTTCATGCACTTTTTAAAGTTGCGGTGCCAGGGATCGAATCCAGAACTGCTTCCTGCACGCCAGGCTAGCGCCCTGCCACTGAGCCGTATCTCAACTATCTCTAGCCCTTTTGTGTTTTTCACTTTGAGACAGGGTCTCCATAAATTCCCAAGGTGTACTTGAACTTGTGATCCTCCTGTGTAAGCTTTCCCAATAGCTAGGATTGATTATAGGCCTTGTCCCACTAGGGACTATTTTTATTCATTCTTGCCTACTTTTTAGTTTTTCAAATAGTATTTTTTTAAATATTTATTTATTATGTATACAGTGTTCTGCCTGCATATATATGCCTGCATGACAGAAGAGGGCACCAGATCCCATTATGGATGGTTGTGAGCCACCATGTGGTTGCTGGGAATTGAACTTAGGACCTTTCGAAGAACAGCCAGTGCCCTTAACCACTGAGCCATCTCTCCAGCCCCTAAATAATATTTTTTAAAATTCTTTCAGAGTGTTATATAATGTATTTTTAGTTTTGTTATGTTTTGAAGACAAGTAAATTCCCCAAGTTGGCCTTGAATTTGAGGACCTTCTGCCTCAGCTTTACCAAGTATCAGGGATTAGGGAATCTGTGTACTAGGCCTTGTTTTCATTCATTCTTGCCTAGTACTGGGGTTTGGAGTTTTAGTTGTTTAGTTTTTTTGTTTGTTTGTTTTGATTTTTTTCATTACACTGTGTGTGTGTCATATATATGCACACACACACACACACACACACACACACACACACTCACACACGCACATAAACTCCTGTGCCATGGCATGGAGGTCAAAGGACAACTTTGGGGAATGGGTTCTCTTGTTTCATGATGTGGGTCCCAAGAATAGTGGTAGAATTGATTCAGCTGTTGTATTAGTCTCGAGGCTATTGAGCCAGCACAAACAGGATGGTGCAGCCCTTCTGTGTTCTTCTAAACCCCAGGTGGTTCACACTGCATCTCTCTTGCAGGTTGGACCAGGTGGTGATTCACGTGGGAGCACTAAGTTTGAAGGAGTCCCGAGAACTGGTATGTATGTGAGACCGCTGGAGGGACCTCCGTGTTTACGCTAGAATTAAAGCCAAGCCTGTATTTGGCTGGAAGAGATCAAGTGTGGGACCACTGAAGCAGGCATGGGGCCATGACAGGCAGTAGCTCAAAAAGATAACTGGAAGACTGGAGACCAGGGAACTTCCTCCAAGAGAGCCATAAATGGCTATAAATGCGGCTAAGTCTGCAGCGCTTGAGCCAACATCAGTCTTCTCTGGGAAATGAGAGGCAAGGCCCTCTGCTGGACAAAAAGGGAATAGGAAATGGGGCTGCTCTGGAAAATGGCGTTCTTCAGAGGTTCAAAACCAAAGCTGTAGCCAGTGATGGCAGTGTATACCTTTAATCCTAGCACTCAGGAGGCAAAGGCAGGTGGATCTCTGTGAGTTCAAGGCCAACCTGGTCTACAGATCAAGTTCCAGGACAGCCGGGATACACAGAGAGACCCTTTCAAAAACACAAACAACAAAGCTATAAGCCAGAAGCATCAGATCCCTGTTCTGCAGAACTGTAAATACTGGATACAGTCTTTAGGGCCATAGGATCCAAGCTGCTCCAGGCTAGTGATTAGGCTGGATTTGAGCAAAAGCCAGACCGGAGCCAGGCATTGTGGCACATACCCGTAATCTTAGCTCTCCAGAGACTGAGGCAGGGGAATTGGGAGGTAGAAGCCAGCCTGAGCCATACAAGAGAAAACAAAGCAAAAGTAGATGGTGGTGGCTCTGAGGCCTGAGTGAATTAACTAAGAAACCAAAGTGCAACGAAGCTTTAAATGGTTTATCAGAAGGCCCAGCCCCCTTACACCTGCACAGTAACTGTGTTCCCCGGATACTCTAACTCTGAGATTACAGAGTCTTCATCTGGCCCCGTTCTTCATAAAACTTGTGTGTTTTTCCTAGTATTTGGATTTAATGTGAGTGAATACTATATACTCGTGCAATTGCAGTTAAATATTCTTGGATAACTAAAGAGAAGGGCCAGGGAGACGCTCAGCTGGTAAAGTGTGTGTTCAGCAAGCATGAGAACCTGGATTTAGACCCTCAGAAACCACATAAAAAGATGGGCGTGGCTACAGTGCCTATAACCCTAGCCTTAGGCCAGGCGGGAGACAGGCAGATCTCTGAAGCTCAATCGTCAGCCAGCCCAGCCCAATGGATGAGCTTTGGGTTCAGTGAGAGACTTCTAAAAAATAATAAAGGTAAAAGCTAGCGAGGTAGTTTATGCCTTTAATCCCAGCACTTGAGGGGCAGAGACAGGTGGATCTCTGTAAATTCCAGGCCAGCCAGGATTACACAGTGAGATAAAATATACAATACCAGGCACACATGTGGTACACAGACATGCATGTAGACCAAACACCTATATTCATAAAATAAATGAAATATTTTAAAAGTGTTATGAATGCCCAAGGAGAAGAAATAGACTTTTATTGTTTCCCTGGGGGAATTCAAGAAGTTGTCAAAGCATAGTACTGTGTATCTTTTGTGATATGTATAGTCTTTTTCTTCTTAACCTTTCTCAACTGCATTCCCAATCTGTAATATCAACTTAAAATATGACGATTATACCATCCCATGGGAAAGATAATATCATTGAGTAGGCAGAACAGTGGAAAAGAAATTATACATGCAGGGTTCTCTGTTAACAGTTGCAAATGAACTGCTCATGTCTTAGCAAAGTGGTTTTGGTGGGCGGTAAGATTTTTGTCATATGTGTGTATACTGACAGAAACCCAAACAAGTAGCCAGGCATGGTGGCACAGACCTGTAATCCCTGTTTTTCAGAAGGTGGAAGCAGGGAGCTCTTTAGTTCAAGATTAACATAAGGGAGCCTAAATGTGGAGGGAGCCAGATGTGGCACATGCCTTTAATCCCAGCCCTGGAGAGGCTGAGGAATGTGGATCTCTATGAGTTCAAGCCTGGTCTACATCTGAGCTCCAGGCCAGCCAAGGCTACATAATGAGACCCTATCTCAAAAAAACAAAAACAAGCACCGTATATCCGGGTTGACCAGAAAGATGACTCAGAGGTTATGAGCACTGCCTGCTCTTCCAGAGAACCCAAGTTTGATTCCCAGCACCCACATGGAGGCTTACCACTGCCTGTAATCCCAACTCTGGGGGATCTGACCCCCTCTTCTGGTCTCTGCGGATGCCTGTGTACACACATAAACACACATAAATAAAAATCTTTTAAAAGAAAATCAGTGAGAATAAATCAAGAGGAGCCAGTGAGATGACCCAGTGACTAGAGGTACTTGCTGTACAAACATGAAATTAATACCTCAGCTTACCTGAACCAGGTGTCTCTGCTCTGCAACCTGGGACATTCTTGGCAATGACGTTTTAATTCAGTTCTCAACCCATGGGTCTCAACTCCTTGGGGTTGCCAAAGACCATCAGGAAACACATATTTGCATTATAATTCATAACAGTAGCAAAATTATAATTATGAAGTAGCAACGAAATAATGTTATGGTTGGGGGGTCACCACAGCATGAAGAACTACATGAATGGGTCGCAGCGTTACGAAGGTGGAGAACCACTGTTTTAATTAAATTGGCTAATCTTTCTGTTCTCTAGCTGGGAATTGGTTGACAGGTTTGAAGAGGTTGTTGCTGAACTCTGGAGTCTGTGGGTCAGTATAGGTGACGATGATCACTTACTCCATTACGGTCTTGTCTTCTTGGACAGGCCCGACATGCAGCAGACATTGGAGCTGATGGCATCGCTGTCATGGCACCCTTCTTTTTCAAGTCACAGAACAAAGGTAAGGAAGTTGGTCTGAACGCACAGCGCTTTGCCCCGTCCGCCTCTTGCTTTCATTAAAAAAAAAAAAATTACATTTAATTCAGAAAGGCAAAGTCCTACAGACTAGAGGCATGACATTGCATGAAAGGGTCGCAGCGTGAGGAAGGGGGAGAACTACTGTTTTAATTAAATTGGCCAATCTTTCTGTTCTCCAGCTGGGAATTGGTTGACCTCCCCCGAGGTCCATAGCAAGGACTATATTAAAGCCCTTGAAATGTTTTGCCATCATCTACTGAGCCCCAGTTGGTAGGTACCTTTGTTTGGATTTGTTGGACCCCAAAGTTTAGGGTCTCAAGTGGGCGCTCCAAGAACCCAGACTCCAGTCCAGTTGATGCAACAACACGAGGATTTTATTGGCTTCTGTACAGAAGGGCGAACTCTGCTCGCAAGAGCAAGAGCCGCATCTTACTGCAGCCCCATAAGGGCTTTTAAAGGAAAAACCCACAAGATTACAATTCCCATACAATTTCATGGCCTGATCACAGGGTGATCACAGAGTGGGTACAGTCACGTCCGCATGCACATTCTTCCTGAAACCTCAAGGGGGGTATCAGGGCGGGAGTGGAGCTTACACACAGGTCACGGTGGTCCTTCCTGGAACACCTGCAACTATCCCAGTCACAGTTGAGCACATCTCTTAACAGAAATCTTTTTACATTGTTACATTGTTACAGGGGTGATTGAGTAGTGGCTGAGTCAGGTGGCCCTTGGAACTAGATTTTTAGTTTCTCATTTCCTGGTGCTTGAAGTTTCTCTTTTCCTGAGGCTTGGGGGTGTAAGCCTGAAGGGCTAGGGTCTTTCAGGTCAGGTGTGCACTCTTGGTGAAACACATTATGAGGTTTCATATGGCATATGGCAAAGCATGAGCCTATTCTTCTCAACAGAGAAGTGTAAATAATGGTCATTTTGAAAACTACCTGTCCTATTTAGAATTGATGAATTGCGATGAAATGAAAATGAATTTCACAGAAATGTCCATTGTCAGCCAGGCATGGTGGCACGTGCCTTTAATTCCAACACTTGAGAGGCAGAGGCAGGGGGATCCCTGTGGGTTCGCTGCCAGCCTGGTCTACAGAGTAAGTTCCAGGACAGCCAGGTCTACACAGAGAAACCCTGTCTTGAAAAACCAAAACAGAAAAGTCTATTATCTTCCAAAACAAGCTATTGTTTTCTCCTTCTATGATGCTTTCTCTGCAGGAATTCTTTGTGTCCGAGTGTAAGGAGGTTGTGTGTGTGTGTGTGTGTGTGTGTGTGTGTGTGTGTGTGTGTGTGAGAGAGAGAGAGAGAGAGAGAGAGAGAGAGAGAGAGAGAGAAGATAGGCTCTCAAATAGCTCAGCCTTCCCTTGAAGTCTTGTTTGTTTGTGTGGGGGAGGGGGTTGAGACAGGATCTCTCTATATTCCTGGCTATTCTGGAACTCACTGTGTAGACCAGGCTAGCCTCAGACTCAGAGATCCGCCTGCCTCTGCCTCCTGAATGCTGGTATTAGAGGCATAAGCTGCCATTCCTGGCCTTTGAACTCTTTACATAGCAGGAAATGTTGAATTTCTGATCTTCCTGTCTCCACCAGTAGAGGACTGTGACCTGTTACTCCTATTGGTTAGTAATTAAAGTGATGTAAAGGGGGATTTGGGAAGTAGTGTGGTTTGTAGAGTACTTGCCTATATGAACAGAGCGCTAGGACCCCAGGTTGGTACTGCATGCCTCAAATCCCAGGCCTAAAGCGGTAAAGATAGGAAGATCAGAAGTTCAAAGCCATCTTCAGCTACATGGGAAGTTTAAGGCCATCTTAGGATATATGCTATCCTGATTTGAGGGAGGAGAAAGGGAGATATCTGTGCAGAAGATTAAAGCCATAACTAAATGCATAAATTGTCATGAAATGTCACCCATAAGTGTTTACTGATAGTTAGGAGATTTAGAATAGACATTTTTTTTGGTGCTATTTTGAGCATTTTTATGTAAGCAGTTTTTCTAAAAAATGAACAGAGAGATGAATTATGCATAACAAATTTTATCTGAAGTATTTCCCAAGTGCTGCACATATTTTCACAGTGTGCAGAGAAGGTATGATACATAAAACTGTCCCTCCCACTTATGGGCCTCATCCACAGTGTAAGCCAACTCTGTCGTCTGCAGTAGTGCCGTTGAGTTGACCAAAGGAAGCCCACTTCCTTAGTAGAGCAAAGGCTTGCTTCTGCTCTGTCCAGATCAGTCCCAAAAGGGAAAGAGTGCCCAACTCTGCCGGCTTTATGGCGTGAGCCACCCCCTTTTTTTGTTCTTTTTGGTTTTTCAAGACAGGGTTTCTCTGTGTAGCCCTGGCTGTCCTGGATCTCACTCTGTAGCCCAGGCTGGTCTCGAACTCACAGAGATCCGCCTGCTTCTGCCTCGGAGTGCTGGGATTGAAGGTGTGCGCCACCACTGCCTGACTGAGCCACCACTCATCCCCACCACACACACACTTTTTTTTAGCACTAGGAATTGAACCCAGGGCCTCAAGTATGCTGGGTCTGCATGCTGCAACTGAGCTATACACACCTCTCTTTTTTAAATTTTTGAGAAAATGTCTAAATTACCCAGGCTGACCCTGAGTTTATTTTGTTGCCCAGGTAGACTGTGTGTGTGTGTGTGTGTGTGTGTGTGTGTGTGTGTGTGTGTGTGTGGTCTACGCGCATGTCTGTGAACGTTAATGCATGCCTGCTGCCCTTAGAGACCAGAAGACAGTGTCAGATCCTCTGAGACTGGAGTAATAGATGGTTGTGAGTCACTATGTGAGTGCAGGACCCAGATCGGATCCTCTGGAAGAGCAGCCAGTGTTTGTAACTGCTGGGCCATCTTGCCAGCCCCTTGTTTTGACCTTGAAAAATAGAACCTTGGTGAAGTGACATTGTAATCGCACCGTTGAGAATGGGAAGGACAGTCGGGAGTTTTCAGCTTCTGAGAAGACAGCTGCATCTCATGAATGGTTCATTTTCTAGTGCGGAAGCCACTGGTCTCTTCTTGTTCACGTGACTCCCGTTCTTTCAGATGACCTGATCAGTTTCCTGAGGGAGGTGGCTGCCGCGGCCCCCGCTTTGCCATTTTATTACTATCACATTCCTTCCTTGACCGGGGTGAAGAGTAAGTATCGCTTTAAAACTGTTTTAGTTTAATTATATGTATTTATTTTATGTGCATGTATATGCGTGTTTTGCTGGCAAGCACCGTGTATATGGGGGCCTGGTGACCGTGGACGTCAGAAGAGGGCATCAGATCCCCTGGAACTGGAGTTAGAGATGGTTGTGAGCTGCTGTGTGAGTACAGGGACTCAAACCTCTGTCCTCTGGAAGAATCATCCGTGTTCTTCCACCGAGCCGTTTGTCCAAAACCTAAAGACTGCCTTTTTTTTTTTCTTTTACATTTTCTCCAACTCTCACATCCTACTTATTCCATCAAGAAACTCCACTTCATCCCACCCTACCCAATGACACAGGCCACTCATGAGACAGTTCACGTGGCTCCATGGAACCATTCTAAGACCTCAGCCCTCATTAGTCATCCACATCACTTTCTATGGCGGTTCTTATGCTTACCAGAAGAGTGGATAAAACTGGGTGTGGCTGCACAAGCCTGTCATTCATGGTAGAGGCGGGTGGATCAGGAAGTCAAGGCTATCCTCTGCTACACCATAAGTTCAAGGCCAGCCTCGGATATGTGAGACTTTGTCTTAAAAGAAAAGGAATAAGAAAATTTGACAGGCAAGCTGGGCCGTGGTGACACGTTCACCTTTAATCCTCTGGAGGTAGAGACAAGCAGAGAAACCTTGTCTTTAAAAAAAAAGAAAAGAAAAAGAAAAAAAGAAAAGAAAATTTGACAGGCTAAAGCAGGAAGATTGCCATGAATTTGAAGTTAGCCTGCAGGGCTATGTAGTGAATTAAAGTCCAGCCTAGGCTATAGCATGAGATCCTAGACATATATATAGCAACCACTTTGTATCTCCATATTCATTTAGTCAGTTAGTTTCGTGATACTGGAGCTTGAGCCCAAGGTATCACTCATACTGGGTAAGTATTCTACCACTAAACTATATCCCCAGCCAAAACTTTAGGGTTTTTTTGAGGTTCTAGAGCTTCCGCGTGGGCATGCTAGGCAAGTGGTCTACCGCTGAGCTACACCCCAAGCCATCTTCCATTACAGGATAAGAGATTGTGAGCCGCACTGAAGAGGAACTGTGTGCCTCTCACTGCTGTATGCCCAGTGCCTCGCCTGTAGGGAGCGTCTGACCTCCCTGACTTTTCCTGTTTCTTTTCCCTTTTGTTGTACCAAGAGTAAAGCCTGGGGTTGTGTACATAAGGACAAGTGTTCTGCTTCTGAGCTTCAGCATGCGTGCGTGCGTGCATGATACTAGGGATCAGTCCTCAAGCATGCTAGGCTAGGCTGCTTCTCTACTCCTGAGGTCTCCCCAAAGCTAATACATTCTGAGGAAGAAATGGTTTTTCGAACTTTCTCATACTTATCACTTCACATACAACACTTCACCTCTGGTCACCAAAATGAAACGTGTGGAGGGATTTTTCCCTGGCAGCAGTCAGTTCCCCGTTGGAGGTGAAGTGGTATCCAGTGGTGCCACTTCCATTTTAACACAGTCTACCTGGAGATAGCCGCAGATCCTAGAGGTTAGGGGGCCAGGCCCGCGAGACTGTCTACACTCAGATGCCAGCTTGTGGGCTTCGCCTCTGACCAGTGGCAAATTGGGGTCCCCATAACTCCTTCCTTGAGTTTGAATGATGTGCTAGGGCAGCTCATAGGGAACTCAAAGAAATCCTCTAACCTATTCCTACAAAGATGAAAAGACATATAAGGTGTGTATGATGTCATCTCTAGGTGCAGAGTGGCCTCTGTGTATTCAGTAACCCGGAAACTCTCTGAATCCTCTTTTGGGGCTTTGTAAAGACTTTCCTGGATAGTCATAACTGATTATGTCATTGGCTGTTGGTGACCAATTCAACCTTCAGCTCCTCTCCCAATCCTCTAATCACCCAGCTGGTTCTCCTGTAATCAGCCCCCATCCAGAAGCCTGGCAGGGGTCACCTTCTCAGAACACAAGATGGGCTAGGGGTAGAGAGTTAAGGTACAGTGCTCACCTCAAATGGGCAAAACACTACGTGGACAAAGCATGGTGGTGCACACCTATAATCCCAGAACTTTCAAGGTGGAGGCAGGAAGACCAGACGTTCAAGGTCATCCTTGTAGAGCAGCTATGTAGAGAGACCACCTATGTTACAAATGATCATAGCCCTTTCTCTTAGTAGCCCTGGCTGTCCTGAAACTCACTGTATATATTAAGCCAGCCTCGAACTCAGAGATCCACCTGCCCCTGATTCCCTGTTTTGTTTTGTTTTTTTGACACAGTCTCACTATGTATCCGCCCCTGGCTGGCCTGGAAATGTAGACCAGGCTAACCTCAACCTCACAGAGACTGCCTGCTTTTGCCTCCTGAGTGCTGGGGTTAAGGGTGTGCACCACCACACCCACCCAGCCTGTGTTTGGCTTTTTAAAGACAGGCCCCTGCTATGTAGCTCAGGCTGACTTCAGACAGGCCTCGGAATCACCTTGCCTCAGCCTCAGAATACTGGGAATGGGAGGATAGTCATGTGCCCAAAGGCCAACTCGAGACCATAGTTGATCATTTCTGTTGCTGTGTGGGTTAACGAAGCGTTTGTCGTTCGGAAGTTCGTGCAGAGGAGCTGCTGGAAGGGATTCAGGACAAGATCCCCACCTTTCAAGGACTGAAGTTCAGTGACACTGATCTCTTAGACTTCGGGCAGTGTGTTGACCAGAATCACCAGCGACAGTTTGCTTTGCTGTTTGGGGTAGATGAGGTAAGTTACCCCTGGGCATATCCCGGCTTCACAGTGATCCATTTTAGCTGTTTATGATATAGTGATCCATTTCATGTTTTTTTGTTTTTGTTTTTGGGGTTTTGGGGGGGGGTTGTTGTTTGTTTTTGTTTGTTTGTTTGTTTGTTTGTTTCAAGACAGGGTTTCTCTATGTAGTTTTGGTGCCTGTCCTGGATCTCACTCTGTAGACCAGACTGGCCTTGAACTCACAGAGATCCTCCTGCCTCTGCCTCCCAAGTGCTGGGATTAAAGGTGTGCACCACCGCTGCCTGGCTCCATTTTGTTTATGATATAGTGATCCATTTTATATTTATGATATAGCAGCTCTTTTCTTTCTCGTCAGCAACTGTTGAGTGCTCTGATCATGGGAGCAACTGGAGCAGTAGGCAGGTAAGCACGACTTGTCTTTTCCTTGTGATTATAAAGTGCAAGTCACTCATGGCTGGACTAGAGAGACTTCTTGCGTATTCATCCTTTCTAGTAGTCGTCACTTCCACACCCATTCACGGAAAAAGAAACTGAGTGATTTGTTTGACTCAGTCATGGAAAGATGGTCCCTAACTGAAAAGGAACGACTTTCTCTCCTCCTCTTCATCCCACTCCCCCCCTCTGCTCACTCTGGTTTTTCTCTCAAACGCTAGTGAAATGATCCTCCGTCCTTAATAGGAAGGGAGGGAAGGAGGGGGGGGGTTGGAAGGGAGAAGCATGATATAGTGACACAAACGTATACTCCAACACTTGAGAGGAAGAGGCAGGAGGATTAAGATTTCAAGGTCGGGCTGGAGAGATGGCTCAGAGGTTAAGAGCACTGTCTGCTCTTCCAAAGGTCCTAAATTCAATTCCCAGCAACCACATGGTGGCTCACAACCATCTGTAATGGAAATCTAGCGCCCTCTTCTGGCAGGCAGGTATACATGCGGGCAGAACATTGTACACATAATAAATAAATCTTTGAAAAAAAAAAAAAAAAAAAAAAGCCGGGCGGTGGTGGCGCACGCCTTTAATCCCAGCACTCGGGAGGCAGAGCCAGGCGGATCTCTGTGAGTTCGAGGCCAGCCTGGTCTCCAAAGCAAGTTCCAGGAAAGGAGCAAAGCTACACAGAGAAACCCTGTCTCGAAAAACCAAAAAAAAAAAAAAAAAGATTTCAAGGTCATCCTCGGCTACATAGAAAGTTTTGAGCAAGTCTGAACTACAGCAGACCCTGTCTCAAAACTGACAAAGCAAAACACTTCAATACTGTTGATAATAGGTTTTCTGCACCCCTCCCCCCCTCGTAGGTTTCTCCACCTACACAGTAAGCCAGATTAAGCTGAATTGAAAAAGTATAACAACGGGTTTATTTGAGCAAAGCAACTCCTGGGTGGGTTCTCCAGCCCCAGAGATTCAGGCCCGAGAAGCCGCGCCCACAAACGGAAGCAGGGAGACTTTATAGGTTGTAGGCGAAGAGTGATGATGTGTCCACCACAAGCTGGGTTTGTGCCCAAGTATGGTCAAAAGCTGAGCGCTTTAGGCGGGGACTTGGGCTGCTGGAAACTTCAGGGGAGGAGCTGCCTTGGCTGCCAAGAATGCGGAACTGGGTTTTTGGGCACCTTTCTTGTGTTCAGAGGCTCTCTGAGAAGGCAGGGATGGGAGAGAGACAGGAATGGGGTTTTCCGGATCATGCAGGGGCGGAGCTGGAGGTTCCAACCCAACAGTCATATGTGATGATCCATGCTTGTAATGCCAGCATTTGATGGACTGAGGTAGGAGGAGAGCCATGATTTTGAGGTTATGATAGCTAATAGAAAGACTCTGTCTCAAAAAAAAAAAAAAGAAAAAGAAAAGCACAACAAGCAATTACTGGCTGCTCTTGCATGTCTCACCTCTGCAGGCTCCTACACACATACACACACACACACACACATGGTGCACATAAAGTCATGAGGCAAACACACATAAAAATAATAAACAGCCGGGCGATGGTGGTGCACGCCTTTAATCCCAGCACTCGGGAGGCAGAGCCAGGCGGATCTCTGTGAGTTCGAGGCCAGCCTGGACTACCAAGTGAGTTCCAGGAAAGGTGCAAAGCTACACAGAGAAACCCTGTCTCGAAAGACAAAAAAAAAATAATAATAATAATAATAATAATAATAATAAACAAATTTTTTAATCTTGAGAAGGAAAGTTGTGCTGTGTGATAGTATCCATTGGAGTCAGGTGAGGCAGGTGAGCATGGGGGGGACCGAACCTAGGCCCCTGTATATGCAAATGAGCCTCTACCACGGAGCCAGTCTGCAGCCCCCCTCTTCCCTTTTAAACATCAGGGGTCAAGGGCGTGGATCTTTCCCACTGAATTATTAAGCTTGGAATATTCTCCATTGTCTTGCCAGTACCTATAACTACCTGGGGAAAAAGACAAACCAGATGTTGGAGGCCTTTGAACAGAAGGACTTCACTTCAGCACTCAATTACCAGGTAAACCTGTTCTCCCCTCGCATAAGTCGCTGGGCTACCCTCTTTCTCTCCAAGAATCCCTTGTCCCCTCTCTCTCCTCAGCTGGCTTGAAGGCCACCCACCCTGATGCCTCTTTATCTTTCTCCTGTTAACTCTCATTTAAATTTGCCAGTGGAGCCTAGGAGGCAAACGCAGGCGGATCTCTGTGAGTTCAAGGCCAGCCAGATCTACAAAACCAGAGCAGTTACACAGAGAAACTCTGTCTCGAAAAACCAAAGAAAAAGGGAACCTGCCCCATCTTCTTGTTCCCATGTCTAAAGGGACACAAGGCCCATATGGGACAGAATCCTCCCTTTCTCCTACAAAGAATCTTACTTTTATTCTATCTTGAAAGGTTTTTTTGTTTTTGTTTTTCTTTTTCCAGTCTTTTGAGACAGGGTTTCTCTGTGTAGCTTCGGTGCCTGTCCTGGATCTTGCTCGGTAGACCAGGCTGGCCTCGAACTCACAGAGATCTGCCTGGCTCTGCCTCCTGAGTGCTAGGATTAAAGGCGTACACCACCACCACCGCCCGGCTTGAAAGTATTTTTGTTATAAAATAATAGTCATAGATTTCTGAGAAACTGACTATATGCCATCCTTAATTTTTTAAATTAATTTATTTTTGTTTCATGTGCATTGGTGTTTTGCCTGCATATATGTCTGTGTGGGGAAGTCAAATCCCCTGGAACTGGAGTTACAGACAGTTGTGAACCACCATGTGGGTGCTGGGAATTGAACCCCAATCCTCTGGAAGAGCAGACAGTACTCTTAACTGCTGAGCCATCTTTCCAGCCCCATCTATCCTTAATTTTTGTTACTGTTGTTTTGTTGGGGGGGGGGGGGACGACAGGGTCTCACACTCTGGCCCAAGTGAGCCAGGAACTCATGGCAGTTCTCCTGCCTGAGCCTCTCCAGTGTTGATGTTTGTGAACAGTAAGGAAGCTGATGACGTCACAGCTGGCTCCATCAGGAAGGTTTTTACTGTGGGGAAGAGAGAGAAAATATCCAAGGGTCCAGAGCCGGGAGAAAAGAAAGCAGACTGGACGTGGCCAGGGCTAGGGAAGCAGGAGAACAGTGGAGATAGCAAGAGATATGGCGTAGCAGGAGAGATGAGAGAGAGAGAGAGAGAGACCGGAGAGTAGCCGGGGGGCATGGGGTGGACGGGTAGCTGCCGGGGAAGCACCGCTTTGGGGGCTAGAAAACCCATTCCCCAAGTGCTGGCTTTTATGTCGCCATCAGAAACTCTGTAGTCCAGCTTGAGCTCATTTCTAGCATAGAGAGGGCTAGAGCCCTAACAGCTGCAAAGACAGATGTATGTGCCCACCGGTCCCCTGGAGGAGGTCCCACATGAGTCACCAAAGAATAGGAGGAAGGTGGAAGCTGAGAACCTGTGGGAGCCACAGAAACCCCAGCTCATGGCTTGTTTCCATCTTGCCTGGAGGTCAGAGGGTCCAAGCTTGTTTTCTCCTGCCAGGCTGCATAATAGGATGTTTTGGCCAAAGGCGTGGTTACCAGGTATCTTATACCTCAAGGCCTAATTACAGAATACTTTGCCGCAAGGCATGATCACAAGATGTCTTGAGTGCTATGGAGGTGTTTATTATACTTGATTGTACTCTGTACCTTGAACCCTGGTGGTGTCCTTGAAAGGGGGAGATCTTTGAGCCCCCCTTGCTTTGGGGTCTATAAAGGCTGTGAGTAATAAACTCAGGATCTGTGGTATTGACCCAGAGCCCTCCCGAAGCTATCCTGTGTCTCTGTCTTTTTCTTCATCTGAGTTTATATTTCATAGCTACCATTTCCCAATTCCGCACTCCCCGCTTCAGAACCATTCAACAGGTCAAGCGGGACTCAACAGGAACCTAAAATGGGGAAGGGTAATCCCAAGTCAGTAGAGGTCATGGGTGTGCACCCTGAAATGTGCTGAGAATGGGGAACACCCACCAGGCGGACAGCAAACTGATGATGCACAGGAAGGCACTGGCTTTAAGGATTGTGTGTGTGTCTGTGTACACACGTGTTAGAGGACAGGTTTATGGAGTCAGTCCCCATCTTGTGTGTGGGTTCCAAGGATCTAAGTTGGACAGTCAGATGTGCACAGCCATTTTCTCTACCGGATGAGCCACCTCTCCAGCCCTGGTTTTGTTTTGAGCTGGGATCTTGCTACCCAACCCTGGCTATCCTTGAACTGAAGCAGTTTTCTTTCCCTGGTTGCCCGCCCCCATCCCCCACCCCCATGCTTGTATCACCACACCCAGCTAAGACTCTTTCAGTAGGAAAAGAGCCTGTCCTGATAGATCACAAAGAAGATGCCGAGGTGGCGATACTGGCCACTGTGGGTGTGTATGCTACCCAGAGGACAGCCTAGCTCTTCAAAGAAAGATGTCGAGGAAGAGTAGAGCCAGCCTCCATAGCTACAGAGTATGTGCAGTTTGGGGAAAGGCAATCCAGAAAGTAGAATTACAGGAACGTATGCCGCCACAGCAAGTTTAGAGGGGTTTTTCCGTTTGTGGGTTTAGGAGCTTTTTGGTTTGTTTGTTTGTTTTTGTTTTGATTTTTCACTTTTTGAGGGTCTTGCTATGTAACCCAGGCAGGCCTTGAACTTATGACTCCTCCTACCTCTGAGATTGCAGACCGACTCTGCCACTGCCAGATTCACACCTGGTCTTATGCAGTGCTCTGAGTTGAACCCAGGACTTCTTGCATGCCGGGATGGTGTACCTACTAACTAAGCTACGTGCCCAGCCCTAAAGACATTCTTGACTTTGCCACAGAAAAGAATTTCATGAGGAGCCAGTATGAGTGAAGTAGTGTTAGACCTTGCTAGGAAAAATATTTAATGTAGATTTAAGCATGGAGATTAATAGAAATAGGATAGAGTACATCTGCCTAAGAGTAAGTGTGTGACCTTCTCCAGAGAGGCTTGCACTGTATTGTAAAGACTGTAGCTGTAGACGGGATTTTGATGTGTATTGAAGTTACTATCTTCAAAGGGTTGCAAAGAAATTTAAATGAGGCCGGGCGGTGGTGGCGCACGCCTTTAATCCCAGCACTCGGGAGGCAGAGCCAGGCGGATCTCTGTGAGTTCGAGGCCAGCCTGGGCTACCAAGTGAGTTCCAGGACAGGCGCAAAGCTACACAGAGAAACCCTGTCTCGAAAAACCAAAAAAAAAAAAAAAAAAAAAGAAAGAAATTTAAATGAGACAATGGGGTGGTTCCTGAGAGGCATTGTTTAAAGGTAAAGCGCTAGGTGTAGGAAGTTAGGATAGCCACACTGTAAACAAAACTCAATAGTTTTCTGGTTTTTACATTTATGTATTTACTTGTATGCATATGCACACGTACATGTGGAGATCAGAGGACAGCTTGGGGAAGTTGGTTTTTCTGCTGTCCTAGCCTGAGCAGATTTGGCTGATCTCACTTCTTTCTTCCGTTCTGATGGACTTGTAGAAAACTAAGGTGGCTAGACTTTGCCGAGTTTCCACCGTTTGACTTCTGAACTATATAAATGGTTTTCACAATGTGGCGATGCTGACCGCGGACTTCTTTGTTCTACCCTAGTTTTGTATCCAGAGATTTATCAACTATGTCATCAAGCTAGGTGAGTACCCTTGCTGTTCTCTGCGCTTACCAAGCCAGGGTTAGGTGATTATGGGTCAGAGGGAATGTCGTCTATCAGGCATGGGTCCGAGGGGTCACAGCAAGACTGAGACTGTGACAAGTTTATTGTAAGCAATCAGACTTGCATACCCTCATCAGAAACAGAATATAACCGTGGTTGCCAGGAAGAATACAATTGTAGTCGTTGGGATACAATGTCGTTTAGGAGCTATCCAGGGTCCACAAGATTAATGTCTGAGACTGATTGTTCTGTCAAGCTTCTGTATGCTTCACTGACTCCTAGAGAACACAGAGATACACAGGCAGCCTGAATGCTCCACTGCCTGAGTGCCCCGGTTTCTAAGGAGCTGAGCGGCACACAGTGCCCCAGGAGCCACAGGCTCTAACGTGGAAAACCTGTGATACATGCCTCTTAAGGCATCTAGACAGGGCCAACTCCAGGAGTCCCCGAAGCTGACCAGGTGCAAAAGATGGATTTCCATCACTCCCTCTGAGGATTCAACCAGCGCACCTATAGTGCTCAGTTAGGCGCCTGACAGTCAACATGGTGAAAGCCACGTTGGCAGTCTCCCAGGAATCTCTCTCCTCCGCCTCAGCATGTTGCTCTCCAGCACACTCACCATTTTCTGTCCCTTCCTCCTCATAGCATCAGCACTTCCTCCCCCCCCGCCCCCCCCCCCCCCCCCCCCCCCCCCCGATTATTTGCCTCTGCTCATTAAAATTCTACTGCTGAACTATGGCTGACTTCCTCCTAAGTACTTGCAGGAAGGCAATCTGAAATACACACCTTACTAAATTATGAATGACTGGCAGTTCCCAAGAGTATTTGAAATTTGAGATGAGTTTATTAACACAGGTAAATTGAAACGGATGGAGGTTTGGATGACAAAGGAAAAATTAGGGGGAAACACGGTGAGTCTGAGCAGAGGAACCTCTGCAGAGTGTCTCAACTTGGCGCACAGGCAGTGACAGATGCTGCCATTCATCCCAGTCCTGCACGAGATGGCCCTCTGGGACAGCTGGCCGTGGGTCAAGTCCAGAAGTTCTCAGTGTGTTCTTGGCAGGTCTCCCACCTCCCTTTCAGAGCCTTTCTGCCTTGTGGTAGCCACACTCTCCTCTGCCCAAGTACCTATTGTCTGCTTGGTCTCATTCCCACGGTTTCCGCTAGCTTGCCCTATCCCTCCAAGACAGAATTTCCATTTGCTTTCACACATTAGGAGCGTTGTCATAGTGAGGTGCCACCGGTTCTGTTCATTGTCGTTATTATTCCTTTGTCCTAACCAATACTTTTCACAAAGCTTGTGATTTCGATATAATAATTATGTGTTTCTAGAGTACATTAAGATAGAAAAGTAACTGGAAAAGGGGCATGGCAGTGCATGTCTGTAATCCCAGCACTGGGGTAGTGGAGGCAGGAGGACCAAGTTCAAGGTCATTCTTTTTTTTTTTTTTTTTTTTTTTTTTTTGGTTTTTCGAGACAGGGTTTCTCTGTGTAGCTTTGCGCCTCTCCTGGAACTCACTTGGTAGCCCAGGCTGGCCTCGAACTCACAGAGATCCACCTGTCTCTGCCTCCCAGTGCTGGGATTAAAGCATGCACGACCTCCACCCAATTTCTATTTCTTTAGAAAGCCAACCTTCAGACAAAGAGAAAAGCAAACAAGAAAATAAATCAGTGAGTGAATGAATAAAACAAAGAGAGCACAAGGACCACACATACATACAAAACCTACAAAAACACCACACTGTGAACCACAGTATACAAGCAGAAGACCGAGAAGACAAAAAAGGCCCAAACAAAGCAATGTAAGACAAAAAAGAAGTTCTACAAAATGACCGTTTTTCTTTGTTTTGTGTTGGCCGTCTCCTGCCGGGCTTGTGACTACCCTTAAGTGTAGTTTGTATACCCAGTGAGACTCCAGTGGACAGAACCAGTTTTTTTCTTTGCAAGTGGATGTCCACTTCCCCTCTCAGCACACCTGACTTGAAGCTCTGCAGGTCTCTGCATGCTGCCACCGTCTCCGGAAGGTCATATGTGCATCAGTCCCATTGTGTCTGGATAACACTGCTTCCTTGACATGGCCCGTCCCCTCTGCCTCTGCCCCATAGTTCCCTGAGCCCTGAGTGGAGGAGTATGATGGAGATGTCCCTTTTAGGACTGACAGGTCTCCGCTTTTAAGTGTTATGTGTAAGAGTGTTTTGCTGCATGTATGTCTGTGCACCACATGTGTCTGGTACCCACGGAGGCTGGAAGTTGGTATTGGATCCCCTGGAGTGACAGATAGTTGTGAGCTGCCATGTGGGTGCTGGAAATTGAACTCGGGTCTTCTAGAAGAGCAACAAGCGCTCTTAACCACTGAGCCAACTCTTTACCTGCACACCCACCTTGAACTCTTGACCCTCACACTCTGCCTCTTAAGTGCTGGGATTATCGATGTGTTTGTTCCATCATGCCTGACTCCTTCTTGCTTGTAAGGTTGATTTTGACTCTGTGGGTTTTGTGTTTGTTTGGGGGTTGTTTGTTTTTCGTTTTATTTATTTATTTTGAGTGTGTGTGTGAACTTATAGGTGTACCATAGCCCACATGTGAAGACCGGAGGCCAGCTTGAGGGATTCAGTCCTCTCCTTTTGCTATGTGGGTCCTGGGGAGTGAACTCGGGTGGCTTGGCAGCATCTGCCTTTACATGCTGAGCCAATATTGCAGGCTCCAACTTTGACTCTTTGTATTGTTTTATTTAGTTTGTTTATTTACTTGCTGTAATTCAGGAATTTGAACCCAAGGACTCTCATACACTAAGCAAATACTTGGCCATAGATTTCCGCTCCCGGCCTCTTTCTGTTTTATAGTTTGTATATTTATTAACACAAGCAACAGGGATTTATTTTACCACTCAGTCATTTATTTGTTTATTAAGATTTATTTATTTATTTTGTATACAGTATTCTGCCTGCATATATGCCTGCAGGCCAGAAGAGGGCACCAGATCTCATTATAGATGGTTGTGAGCCACCATGTGGTTGCTGGGAATTGAACTCAGGACCTCTGGAAAAGCAGCCAGTGCTCTTAACCTCTCAGCCATCTCTCCAGCCCTCATTCATTTATTTGTACACGTGTGTGCTCCTGTCACAGCGTGAGTATGGAAGTCAGAAGGAAACTTGTAGAAGTCCCAGGATTTGAACTTAGGCTCTCAGGTTTGGCTGCAAGTGCCTTGGCCAACTGAGCCATCTCATAGGCCCAAAAAGGATGATTTCTTTTTCAAAAAGATTGTATTTCATTTTTAGTTGTGTGTTTGGGGAGGGGGATGAGTATGGGTATTTGCATATGAGTGCAGTGCCCACAGAGGCCAGAAGAGGGTATCGGATCCCTGAAAGCTGCAGTTATGGGGGTTCCGAGCCACCCTACATTGGTGCTGGGAACCAAGCTGGGGTCTTCTGAAAGAACGGGGAACACTCCTAATTGCTGAGCCGTCTCGCCAGCCCTGAGAGGAGGCCTTCCCATTCTGCTCTGTATGTGAAAGACAGGGTCTCATGGAGCCCAGACGGACCTTGAACTCTTGATTCTCCTGCCTCCACCTCCCTAGTGCTGGGATTACGGGTGTGTGCTGCCATGCCCAGCTCAGTCAGTCTGACTACAGGTGTTCTTTTCTGTTTACCATGTCTTACTGTAGTGGTTACTTTGGCATACAACCTCCTCTTTGGAGATGTTCGCGGGAAAGCGGACAGTGCCAGATACGTTTCACGCTTTATTTTTTCCCATCTAGGTTTTGGAGTGTCACAGACCAAAGCCATCATGACGCTGGTCTCTGGGATTCCAATGGGCCCACCCCGGCTTCCTCTGCAGAAAGCCACCCAGGAGTTTACTGCTAACGCTGAGGCCAAGCTGAAGAGCCTAGACTTCCTTTCTTTCCCTGGTTTAAAGGGGGGAACTTAGGAGCCTTAGCTAGTGCCTGTTAAGTCGGAGTGTGTCTACTGAGACTCTCGCCCATCTTCAATCGTACCATCCTTTTCTCAGGGACTTTTTGAGCTAAGCTTTCTTTTAACAAGCGGAATCCCACACCAATAAAGAAATATTTAAATATCAGTCTTGTTCTTTGTTTTTCGAGACAGGATTTCTCTGTAGCCCTGGCTGTCCTGGAACTCACTGTGTAGGTAGACCAGGCTGACCTTGAACTCAGAGATCTCTGCCCCTGGAGTGCTGGGATTAAAGTCATGCACCAACACCAATGCCCAGCCTAAATATCAATTATGAACCTAGAAATTCTGTTTTATAAATGAATCATAAACCCTAAGTCATTCATTTCACAAAATGATTATAGGGAAATCTCTGTTTATATAGATGAAATTGGACCAGGTGAAAATTATAATAATTACAATTATTAATTAGTTATATTAATATAATTAATATTATATTGAATACTGTATTAATTATATGATTAATAAATTTCTTCTGTCTTTTGAGAGCACTCATTGTCTTAGTCTTATTTTAAAGTTTTGTAATTGATGATTGATTAATAAAGTTCATCTATCTTTTGAGAGCACTCATTGTCTTAATCTTATTTTAAAGTTTTGTAATTTGAGTATTCTGTCTCATTGAATTTTTGTTTGTTTCTTTTGAGACAGGGTCTCACCGTGTAGAACAACTGGGTATTCAAATAATTTAACTGGGACTGGAGAAATTGCTCTGTGGTTAAGAGCATTGGCTGCTCTTCTAGAGGACCCAGGTTCAATTCCCAGCACCCACATAGCTTCATAATCTATGTAACAGTTCCAGTTCCAGTTCCAGGAGATCTAGTGCCTTCTAACATGTACTATCCCCAGGGGCCAAAGAAGAGACTGGATCCCCAAAAACATGTAGCTGTCAGCTACCTGATATAGGTGTTAGGAACCTAACTCAGGTTCTCTGGAAAAACGGCAAGGACTCTTAACTGCTAAACCATCTCTCCAATCCTTGTAATGCTTTTTTCCCCCTGAGACAGGGTTTCCCTGGCTAGCTGTCCTGGAACTCCCTCTGTAGACCAGGCTGGCCTCTAACTCAGAGCTCCATCTGCCTCTGCCTCCCAAGTGCTGGGCTTAAAGGTGTGTGCCGCCTCCGCCGCCACCACCACTGCCTGGCTTTTTTCCCCCAGTCATCAAATAGTTTTGTTTTGTTTTTAATTTAAAGCTGGGACTGGAGAGATGGCTCTGTAGTTAAGAGCACTTGCTGTTCCAGAGGGCCCCGATTCCATTCACAGCACCTACATGACTGAATGTTCACAACTATTGGTAACTCCAGTTCCAGAAGATCTGACGCCCTCTCTGGCCTCCACAGGTACCAGGCACACATGTGGTATACACAGACATACATCCAGGCAAAGCATCCATACATATAGAACATTTTTTAATTAAAAAAAAAGCCAGACATAAGCTAATAGAATGACTTCGTAGATAAACGTACTTGCCACTAAGTTCAAAGCCAAAAACTCATATAGTGGGAGAGAACCAACCCCTCCCTTTGTCATCTGACTGCCACGTGTGCTTCAAGTACACACATATACAGATGTGTACTAAACACATACAACTGTGTGTGTGTGTGTGTGTGTGTGTGTGTGTGTGTGTGTGATTTTTAATGTTTAAAAGCCAAGCGTGGCAGTTTGAATGAGAATGGCCCCGTAGGCTCATAAGTCTGAATATTTGGTCCCCAGTTGGTGGATCTGTTTGGGAAGGATTAGGAGGTGTGGCTCTTATTAGAAGAGGTGTGTCAGTAGGGGCGTGCTTTGAGGTTTCCTAAGACTCTGGCCATTCCAGGTGTGTTCTCGAGCCCCCTGATTATGGATCACAATGTGAGCACTTGGCTGCTTCTCTAGTCAACTGCCACATTGCCTTTGCTCCACCATCGTAGACTCTAACCCTCAAACCATAAGCCAAATTAAAGTCTTTTATAAGTTGCCTTGGTCATGGCATTTTATCTCAGCAATAGAAAAGTAAGATAGCGGGTGGGCAGGGGCAGGAGAGATGGCTTAGCAGATAAGACCCAGTAACAGTCTTACAGAGGACCAGGATTTGGTTCCCAGCACCCACATTGGGCAGCTCACAGCTGCTTATAATTTCAGACCCAGGGGATCCAATGCCGCCTTCTGGCTTCCACAGTCACCTGAACTCATGTACATACTCACACAGAAACACATGCATGCACATAATTAAGAAAAAAGAAAGAAAAACCAGCACTCCAGAGGCAGGGGCAGGCAGATCTCTGTGAGTTTGAGGTCAGCCTGGTCTACATAGTTTGAGATCAGTCAGGGATATATAGTGAGACCCTGTCTCAATTGTAATCAATAAAATAAAAAGTCATGCATGGTAGTGCATGTTTATAATCCCAGCTCTCGGGAGGCAGAGCCAAGCTGATCTCTGCGAGTTCGAGGCCAGCCTGGTCTACAGAGCCAGAGCCAGATCCAGGACAGACACCAAAACTACACAGAGAAACCCTGTCTGGAAAAATCAAAAAAAGAAAAAGGAAGGAAGGAAGGAAGACATGGAAGGAAGGAAGGAAGGAAGAAGGAAGGAAGGAAGGAAGGAAGGAAGGAAGGAAGGAAGGGGAAATTTCCTGGTTTCTATGGCCGAGGCTGGTGCTGAGCCTGACCCAGTGTCAGATGTCTTCCTTTTAGGAACCTGTTTGCATGCCAGGAGCATCTTCTGGCCACACTGAGCTTTGTAGTCTGTGGGCTGGGCAGATTTGCTCGCCCTCTATAGTCTCCTCAGTTTATACATCCCGGGATGGCTAATGTCTAGACAAGGGGTGTGTCTTCTGGGGAGTTGGGGAGTGAGGGAAACCAGCACAGCACTGAGGTCTAGACAGGAGGAACAGTCTCTGCTTGTAAACCCAGCTCAGTTAACCCTCTGCAGCAGGGGCGAGATTAGGGAAATCAAGCGTTAGAATAGTACAACATCAGTGAGCTTTGCCCTGTGACAGGAGTCTCAGGCAGCTGACCTCAGGCCCAGGGCTATCACACTCCAGAGTTGTTCTGGGTGATGGGCTCAGCTGCTAGCCACCAAGAGTGGGCCCTAACACCCTATGTAGCCTTGACTGCTAGAGCCAGGCTCTGTTTCCTGAGCTTCACTTTTCCACATCTGGTTTTCCCCTTCTCCATGACTGCCTCCCACAGCTGTCTTCAACTGCAAGTCTGTGGCAGGTGGAGCAGAGGCTCCCACACTTGTGAATGTACCTTACTCTCAGCCCCTACGGTAGCTCTATCTTAGTTCCTTCTCCAGATGGAATCTTGCCGTGGCCCTCTGAGACCTGGCTGTGACACACGGACTTCCTTGCCACCGCATCTCACCAAAATCCCTGATTAGACTTGACAAAACTTACACTGCCAAGAACAGGATTCTTCACCAGGGTGGCTTGCCTTACTTTTTGTTTTAATTTTTAAATTCCATGTGTTTGTTTGTTGTGTGTGGAAATTAGAGGACAGCGTGGAGTAGTTGGTTATCTCCTTGCACCGTATGGGCTCTGGGAATCCAACTCGGGTTGTCAAGCTTTGTGGCAAGTGTTAGAATTCTGCCCTCACTCCAGCTGCATGACCGCACATGTGCCGTTCAGGAGTTAAGCAAAGGGTCTTGCATCTTATGTCATCAGCTCAGCGTGTGCTGGTGATCACATACACACAGCATGCACAGTCTGCGCATGCGTGGCAGTATGGCTCTGTGAGCTCATCTGCGCCTTAAAGAACCGTGACTCAGACCCCACCCTCTCTCTTTCTGTTCTGCTCCCCCTTCACCACCATCTTTCTCTGTGCCCTCCACACATGCTCTTTCCCAGGCCTGGTTCTCCCCACCCACCCCCGACCCCCAATAAAGCTCTCTGCTACCAGGTAGCGTGGCTGTGGCTCGTGACCTTTTCACAAGGTAACCAGCGCCATAAAGCACCATTTATCGTTCATTTCAGCAAGTACCTTTAACCACTGAGTCATCACATCAGTCCTGTTACTTTTCTAAGGTTGTGAGAAGACCTCATGGCCAAGGCAACTTACCAAAGAAAGCTTTTAATTTGGGACTCATGGGTCCAGAGGATTAGAGTCCATGATCATCATGGCAGGGAGTAGAGCATGATACAGGCAGGCAGGCATGATGTCGGGACCAACCGACTTGTTGAACAATAGGGTGTGAGACCAAAATGAGCCATCTTAGAAATAAGACCAAAATGCTTTCACCCAAAAACTAAGGCCTAAGATTTCTCCTTCTAGGAATAGGCCAATAGTGACTGAAACAAGTCAGTCCAGATTCCAGAAGCCAAGAAGTGTAAAAGTACAGAGTCACAAGGTAGTCACAAGGTAATGACTGCGGACTATGGAATGTCCTCTCCCTGGTTTCCAGGGTAACTGACCACAGAAATGTCCCCACCTGAGGGCAGCCAATGAGAAATGGTGGCGGGCAACCACTCCCTTAGAAGTAAGATGAAGCCATGATTTCTAGAAAGCCCCTAGAAACGAGCCAATCAGAATTGTACCCGTACTAGCACCCCTAAGTGATGTAACCTTGTGGCTTTTGCCTTTAAAAAATGAGCTTGCAGACAGGCGGGCACTTCCTCCAGCCTCCACTGCGTTGGATGTATTGGACAAAGTCCCTACCTAGGCTTGTATTGCTTTTGCATATCCAGAATTAAACCTTGCTTTTGCATTCCAGCATGCTCGTCTTTGGTGGTCTCTCTGGGGGTCAAGATCTGGGCACAACAAGGGGAGTGAGGTTTAAGAAAGAAAGAGACAGCCGGGCGGTGGTGGCACACGCCTTTAATCCCACTCAGGAGGCAGAGGCAGGCGGATCTTTGTGAGTTCGAGGCCAGCCTGGTCTACAGAGCGAGATCCAGGAAAGGCGCAAAGCTACACAGAGAAACTCTGTCTCGGAAAAAAACCAAGAAAAAAAAAAAAAGAAAAGAAAGGCTCTTTGCTTTTATATTTGGGATTTTGTCTCTGTGGTGGTGTTTTGGGAGTCCCTCAATGATCTAGGCATAACAATAGCCTTTTTATACCCAAAGTAAGGGGGGCAAAAGATTTCCTTCAAGGAGTACCTCCTTAATCCTCAAAACATCTAGTAACCACGCCTTTGGCCATACATCCTGTTATTTAGGCTTAAGGAGCAGAAACAAGCTTGAACTCTCTGACCTTAAGTCAAGATGGAATCAAGCCGCAAGTTGGAGTCACTGTGGGCTCCCACAGCATGACATGGGAGCAGTATTGGAGAGCTCACAGATGTTCCACAAACACGAGGCAGAGAGTGTTAACTAGGAATGGCATGGGCATTCAAAGCTCTCCCTTGGTGACACACCTCTTCCAATAAAGTCACTCCTAATCCTTCCCAAACAGTTCCACCCAATGGGAAATCATCGTTTGTTTGTTTTGTTTTCTTTTGTTTTTTGAGACAGGGTTTCTCTGTGTGGCCTTCGCTGTCCTGGAACTCACTTTGTAGACCAGGCTGGCCTCAAACTCACAGATAATCATCCACCCACCTCTGCCTCCCAAGTGCTGGGATTAAAGGCATGTGCCACCCGGCTTGAAGGGACCAAGCA